TATTGAGATAATCATGTAGTTTTTGTCTTTGGTTCTGTTTATGTGGTGGATTACATTTATAGACTTGAGTATGTTGAACCAGCCTTGCATCCCCATGATGAAGCCTACTTGATCATGATGAATAAGCTTTTGGTTTGCTGTTGCATGCTGTTTGCCAGTATTTTATTGAAGATTTTTGCATCAATGTTCATCATGGATTTTGGCCTGAAGTTTTCTTTTTTAGTTGCATCACTGCCTGGTTTTGGTGTTAGGATGATGTTGGTCTCATAACATGAGTTGGGAAGGACTTCCTCTTTTTGTATTGTTTGGAATAGTTTCAGAAGGAATAGTACCAGCTCCTCTTTGTGCATCTGGTAGAATTCAGCTGTAGACCCATCTGGACCTGGGCTTTTTTTAGTTGGTAGGCTATTAATTGCTGCCTCAACTTCAGCCCTTGTTATTGGTCTTTTCAGAGTTTCAGTGTCTTCCTGATTTAGTCGTGGGAGAGTGCAAGTGTCCAGGAATTTATTCATTTCTTCCAGATTTACTGGTTTGTGTGCATAGAGTTGTTTGTAGTAATCTCTGATGGTAGTTTGTATTTCTGTGGAATCAATAGTGATGTCCCCTTTATCGTTTTTTATTGCATCTATTCGATTCTTCTCTCTTTTCTATTAGTCTGGCTAGCAGTCTATGTATTTTGTTGATCTTTTCAAAAAACCAGCCCCTGGATTTGTTGATTTTTTTTGAAGGGTTTTTTTTTTTTTTTTTTGTCTCTGTCTCCTTCAGTTCTGCTCTCATCTTAGTTATTTCTTGTCTTCTGCTAGCTTGCTCCTCTAACTCTTTCAATTTTGATGATAGGATATCAATTTTAGACCTTTCCTTGCTCTTCATGTGGGCATTTATTGCTATGAATTTCCCTCTAGACACTGCTTTAAATGTGTCCCAGAGATTCTGGTATGTTGTGTCTTCATTCTTGTTGGTTTTGAAGAACATCTTTATTTCTGCCTTCATTTCATTGTTTATCTAGTCAACATTCAGGAGCCAGTTGTTCAGTTTCCATGTAATTGTGCAGTTTTGGGTGAGTTTCTTAATCCTGAGTTCTAATTTGATTGCACTGTGGTCAGAGACTGTTTGTTATGATTTCCATTCTTTTGCATTTGCTGAGGAGTGATTTACTTCCAAGTATGTGGTTGATTTTAGAGGAAGTGCAGTGTGGTGCTGAGAAGAGTATATGTTCTATGGATTTGGGGTTTAGAGTTCTATAAATGTCTACTAAGTTCACTTGGTTCAGATCTGTGTTCAAGTCCTGGGTTTCCTTGTTGATTTTCTGTCTCATTGGTCTGTCTGATATTGACAGTGGAGTGTTAAAATCTCCCACTATTATTGTGTGAGAATCTAAGTCTCTTTGTAGGTCATTAAGGACTTGCTTTATGTGTCTGGGTGCTCCTGTATTGGGTGCATATATATTTAGGATAGTTAGTTCTTGTTGTATTGATACTTTTACCATTATGTAATGCCCTTATTTGTGTCTTTTGATTTTTGTTTGTTTAAAGCCCATTTTATCAGAAACTAGGATTATTACCCCTGCTTTTTTTTTTTTTTGCTCTCCATTTGCTTGGCATATCTTCTTCCATCCCTTTATTTTGAGTCTGTCTGTGTCTTTGCATGTGAGATGGGTCTCCTGAATACAGCACACTGACGGTTCTTGGCTTTGTATCCAATTTGCCAGTCTGTGTCTTTTGATTGGGGCATTTAGTCCATTCACATTTAATGTTAATGTTGTTATGTGTGAATTTTATCCTCCTATTTTACTACTGGTTGGTTGTTTTGCCTTTGGTTGGCATAATTTCTTCATTACGTCATTGGTCTTTACCATTTGGTTCTTTTTTGCAGTGGCTGGTACTGGTTTTTCCTTTCTGTGTTTAGTGCTTCCCTCAGGAGCTCTTGTAGGGTAGGTCTGGTAGTGACAGAATCTCTCAGCAATTGCTCGTCCATAAAGGATTTTATTTCTCCATCGCTTATGAAGCTTAGTTTGGCTGGATGTGAAATTCTGGGTTGAAAGTTCTTTTCTTTAAGGATGTTGAATATTGGCCCCCACTGTCTTCTGGCTTGAAGGGTTTCTGCCGAGAGATCCACTGTGACTCTGATGTGCTTCCCTTGTGGGTGACCCAACCTTTCTCTCTGGCTGCCCGTAGTATTTTTTCCTTCATTTTAACCCTGGTGAATCTGACGATTATGTGCCTTGTGATTGCTCATCTACAGGAGTATCACTGTGGTGTTCTCTGTATTTCCTGTATTTGAATGTTGGCCTGCCTTGCAAGGTTGGAGAAGTTCTCCTGGATAATATACTGAAGAGTGTTTTCCAGCTTGGATTCATTCTCCCCGTCATCTTTCAGTACACCGATGAAGTGTAGATTAGGTCTTTTCATATAATCCCATATTTCTTGGAAGCTTTGTTCATTTCTCTTCATTCTTTGTTCTCTTTTCTTGCCTTCTCGTTTTGTTTCATTGAATTGATCTTCAATCTCTGATATCCTTTCTTCTGCTTGATCTATTCAGCTTTTGAAACTTGTGTATACTCCAGAGTTCTTGTGCTGTGTTTTTCAGCTCCATCAAGTCGTTTATGTTATTCTCTAAACTGGTTATTCTCGTTAGCATTTCATCTAACCTTTTTTCAAGGTTTTTAGATTCTTTGCATTGGGTTAGAACATGTTCCTTTAACTCAGAGAAGTTTTTTATTACCCACCTTTTGAAGCCTGGTTCTGTCAATTCGTCAAATTTGTTCTCCATCCAGCTTTGTTCCCTTGCTGGTGAGGAGTTGTGATCTTGTGGTCAGGGAGAGGTGTTATGTTTTTTAATGTTTTAATTCTTCTTGCACTATTTTTTTCCCATCTCATTGGATTTATATAGTTTTGATCTCAGGTAGCTGCTTGGGGAGGCAGACTTTCCTTTGCCTGCAGAGGCGCTGCTGGGCTGCCACAGGTTCAGTGGAGCTGCTGCATCTTTTATTTACTCAGGAAAATTAGGCTGACTTCTGCAATGGTGGCCACCCTTCCCCACACTGAGCTTGACCTTGACTGTTCCTGGTTGCTCTCTAGGTGCGAAACTCTGATGTAAGAGTTTTTTTTTTTAGTCTGCTGGGCTTTGTGCGGTGGAGGGGGGACCCATCCTGCTGTATGGGCTGTTTCCCTGTTTTCAGTTCCCCTTCCCACTGTGGGGAGGGTAGATCCATCCAGCTGACTTTCTGGCTTTCAGATCAGCCAGCCAGTGTTTCTGCCTAGATCTATGCTGACTGCCCCGGCTTCAGCAGAAGTTGCTGTTCTGCCCTATTCAGGCAGTTCAGCCCAGTGAAGATCTCCTGTTCTGTGGGTTGTAGAGGTCTTGGGTGGAGCACTGTATCCAAACCGAAGTCCCAGAGGGGGAGATCCCCCAGTCCTCCAGATGGAACCTGGGTGGGGCAGTGCCCCGCCTTGCCTCAACTTGCCCTATTTGGTTTATACCCATTGTCCAACCAAACCCACAAAATGAACCTGGTACCTCATTTGGAATTGTGGAGACCACGTGGCTTCTGTGTGTGTGTGTGTGTGTCTCTCTCTCTCTCTGGGAGCTGCTTTCCAGTGCTGCCTCTTATTCGGCCATCTTGTGATCCCCCTATAACTTAATTTTTAATAGCATTACTGTTTCATTTTGTTGATGTCTTATTCAGTTCTCAATTTGATGTGTAGTTATCTTCAAGATTGTGTGTGTGTGTGTGTATATATATATATATATATATATATATATGTATATATGTATGTATGTATGTAACAACCTTGTACATTTATGTATTTCCTTCAGGATAAATTCCTAGAAGTAGAATTGTTGAATCAAGAGATTTACATTTTTAAGGTTTTGATACAGATTAGCAAATTAATCTTTGAAAAAAACAATACCAATTTATAGTAGGGCATTAGGCAATACGTGTTCTGATTTCTTATGCTTTTGTGAATACTGACTGTATTGGGTATTTTCCTGATTTATAATATAAATTCAAGTCAATAAATGGTATCTCCTCTTTTTAAATTTATTTGATTATTAAAGGAGTTGAGCATCTTTCCACGTTTACTGACCATTTGTATTTGTTTTGCCTTTTCAGATTCTTTTCCCATTTTTTCTGCTTTATTTATCTTGTTCTTAATAATTTGCAAGAACTCCTTTTGTATCAAGTATATTAAACCAACATTGTCATCCAAGTTGCAAATTTTTCCAGCTTTTTGTCATTTAAGTGTATTTTTGTGTGTTTTTTTAAGACAGAGCCTTGCTTTGTCACCCAGGCTGGAGTGTGCAGTGGTGTGATCTCAACTCACTGCAGCCTCTGCCTCCCAGGTTCAAGCAGTTCTCCTGTCTCAGCCTTCCTTGTAACTGGGACTAAGGCGCATACCACCACACCTGGCTAATTTTTGTATTTTTAGTAGAGATGGGGTTTTACCATATTGGTCAGGTTGGTTTCAATCCACCCGCCTCGGCCTCCCAAAGTGCTGGGATTACAGGCTTGAGCCACTGTGCCCAGCCCTTGTTTTTGTTTTGCCTAGCTATTTACTAGGATCTCTTCTCCTCTGACCCCACTCTGCTTCCGTTAAAGTCTTTTACTACTCCACATTCATAAAAGGGTTCACCTTTATTTTTTTTCTAACCTTTAAGTAACTTAAGTGTTTTAATATATTTGAAACTTATTTTGGTGTATGATCCAAGATTAGGTTCTTTTACTTTTATTCTCCTTAATTGTAACCAGGTACTCCAATGTGAGGTATTTCTTTACTGAAATGAAATGCAATCATTATTACATACTAAATTACTAAGATAATTTGAGTCTGTTTCTGGACTTCTTGTTCTGTTATATTCATCGTTCTTTTGGCTTGCCTAGGTACCTCGCTGCTGTAAGTACTGTGTTTTCATAGGGCATTTCTACTAGACATTCCATTCAGTTTTACCTTTACCTAGATAAAATGATTAATAATGAGGCATATGTGAACTTTCCCTAGATTTGAGTTTTGTCACTGGCTCCCACATTGGAGAGCTGATCATCTGGGATGCCCTGGACTGGACTGTGCAGGCCTACGAACGCAACTTCTGGGACCCATCTCCACAACTGGACACCCAACAGGAAATAAAACTCTGTCAGAAATCAAATGACATTTCTATTCATCATTTCACATGTGATGAAGAGGTAAAAAATCTAGACACTATCTATAAACTTGCCTTTTAAATAAACCCAATTTCCGATTTTAAAAATTTAATTCCATGTTTGACATAGAAAAGGTATCTATCATTCATGGTTTCAAGTTGTGCTTTATAATGGTCTGATTTTTTTCTAAAATGGTATGACTTGTGTTAAAAAAGCATTTTAATCTTTGCTTCTAATCTTGAGGCAAGGAAATGATTAAATGGCTACAGATTTTAAAACTGTTGAAATTTTGGGTTGGATTAAATAATCCCATTGGATTTGAGGTTAATGCTTACACTTGTTTTAAGAAACACTGTGAAAAAGAACTCTTTTGAAGATCTGATGGATTTCCTAGTGAAGTAAATGAAATTAAAAATTTCAAGAATGTTTCTCTTAGTCCACTGGCATCTTGGAGCAAGATAAATTGAGTGAGAATTGTTGATTTCCATCCTCTAGGGCTTGGCAGTGATGCTCTTGAAGCACTTTACATCCTTTTTGCTGTAAGAGATTAGTACCAGTGGACTACTGCTTTACTTAGTAGTGGATATCCGTGTTGGTGAGAAATTTCTCGACTGAAATGTGCTATGTCCGATGGACGATATATGTCCTATGTAATCTTATCTCTGATCTGAAAACAAATCTCTTAGCATCAGGGGCTCAGAAAATGTGTTTAAAGGGCAGTTAACTTTTCAAATGTAATCACAAGAAATGTTTTAGAGTTGTACCCTTCGAGGAGAAGTCGTTGGGGAGGCTTTTCTCTCCCTACTTTGTGACTTTTTATACTGTTTGAAGTTTCTAACAGCATGCGTATTATTTTTATTAAAAATTTCATTAGTAGTGTTCTGTGGTGGGGGAGAATATGATCCGTTTTTCTTTGTACTACTCTGAAAACAAAACAAAAAACAAAAGATTAGGAAAGGAACAGGATTTTAAAACGCTAATATATTCAAAGATTGTTTTTTGTATCCCAACTTTATTTTGAAAAAAGTTAATATATGATAAAAACGGTATGGTCTCAGAAAAGATGGAGACTAGATCACTAAGAGTTGTAGCCCTACAAATTATATATTTTAAATGTTACATGTTTTTTGCTCACTTTTGTAAAAATTAATATTTAAAAGTTTTTTGTTCTATATTTCTTTTAATCTTATTTTTTGATTGATGTTTATTTTCTACTATACATGCTTGATAAAGCATTATACAGTTTTCCCTGATTTTTCTTCTTTCCTTCTATAGGGTACAGTTATTGATGACAGGTGATTGATAGTGTCTCCATTGAGTAAATGCTGCCTTCAAAGCTCATCAGTTCTCTAGTTGTGTTTATAATTTTCTTCTTGACCTTGGATAAATTACTTAAACTGTTCCCAGAGTTCCTGGTCTGTAGAACCAGGGAATTTTGGCATTGAATACAATCCATAGGGCTTTCCATTTTAGCACCTTGACTAGCAATGTTCATTAATGCCCCAGCCCTGGGCCTGAGCTGCATTGCTCATTGCAGAATACTAATCCTGAGAGTCAGGGGATCATTTCAGATTTTAGATTCCAGCAAGCCTTGGGGGCATGTTTTGGTTCAGTTATTACAGGTCTCGGTTCAGTTTGTCGTCTTGGAGGCTGTGTGATCAAGAGTAGAGAGGGCCCAGAATCTGGTGAAACCAGAAGGCATTATGTAGGGATATTTGAAAGGTCTGCCTCAAGGGAGATAGCTATTAAGTAAGAATGGATAATTCTCGGACAAGTGCTTGCAAAAATTTCAAAGGCTACTGCATGTGAGTGTGTGTTCACGTGAGGAACAAGCAAGTAACATGTTAAGTACTGTTACTACAGTAACATGACCTTGATTCTCATATTGACTCCATGTCTCAGTCCCATTTCTTGTGTGCCTGTAATCTCTTTAACTTCCTTATCTGGAAAATAGCAATAATGCTTGCTGCTCTTAACAAGATGTTGTGAGGCTGAAGTGAGATAAGTATTGGTGAAAATGCTTTCAAAAAATTAAAGTTGTTTTAGTTAAAAGGTATTTATTTCTGATAGTACTTTTGGAAAAATGTTTTTGTGAAACCCTCAGAGGATTGCATGATGATAATGTCACTATAGCTGTGATTTTTTATATCACTCGTAGGTCTCCTGATTGCTTAAGATGTGGAGTGCAAGTAATTTTGCTTGCATTTTCCAGGCAGAAGAAGCTAGGTAATTTTCCCAAGGATATAGTGTTATTTAAATGAAAACTCAGGTTATCCTTCAACAGCTTCCACTGCAAGGCCAGGCTGCCAGCTAGAGATTTTCTCCAGATATATTTCAGTGAGGAAGAAAGTAGAGGTAAGGTATATACTATGCAGACCTTTCTCTGCATTAGTGGTTGTGTCCTACCTTCTAAATGCTCGGAGCTTTCTTTAGTGCTTTGACATTTTTGGGTTCCAGAGATTAGTACTTTAATTTGGGCTAAAGGCTAGGGAAGGTAACAGTGACTTTCTGATGTCACATGAGGGCTGGAAATCCATTACACTGGGTAGGGTGAGTGCTAGTTTTATGCCCATTTCTGAACTTCTTCCCCCAGAATGTATTTGCTGCAGTTGGAAGGGGTTTATACGTGTATAACCTTCAAATGAAGCGTGTGATTGCCTGCCAGAAAACTGCACATGACTCCAATGTCCTGCACATTGCCAAACTTCCAAACAGGTACGAGTTCCCATCTGTTGTGCAATAGATGAAAGCAAGTCATGGTTCCCAGGGCTACCCGTGTCATTTCTCAAGTGGCCAAGTTACCTGGCTTGATGGCTTGACCTGCTGTGTTCTTTTGGAAATGGAGAATGCCTGAGGGCTGTCTCTAACAGAAGGGCATGTGGTAGTATTTTACAGAAATTACAAGAAGCAAGGTTAAAATGAATGACATTGAATTTCATTGTAAGAAGAGATGATTTAAAATTTGGTATTTAACAATGTAAACTACTTGGGAGCCACTTACAGTGTACCAATTTTTATATTTCTCATAAACCTACCTTCTTTTTGTTTGCTTTTGGCCAGAATGAAATGGTTGGTAGTGTCCTTGTTGTGTAAGGCTACTAAGTGAGGGGTTTCCTCTCAGGGTAGATTTGCTGCTGAGCTTCTAGGGATGGACTTACAGACAGGGAATATCATTATTTTCTATGCAGGATATTTATAGAGTGAGAGGCACCTACAGAGGAGAGGTAGCACAAGGAATGAAGGAAGGGGGCTGCTTAGGACATTGTGAAGTATAATTCATACTGTTTTCCCAAGAGCATTTTTTTAAATGGAGAGAATAAATTTATAGCATTTGAGCCGATGTAACATAGTATAACGTGTGGCTTTCCTAAAGGGTGCTTTTAGTTTGCATTGTAATGTCATATGAAATTGTGATTTTTGTCAGTTCCTGCTAAGAGCTGAATAAAAGCAGTTGAGGGCTCCACTGATTTCTCTCACTGCAAATTTAGCATTGGTCCTCAGTGGTGCACTCTCTTTGTATTACTGATTTTCTGTTCTGACAGGCAGTTAATCTCATGCTCAGAAGATGGCAGTGTACGCATTTGGGAGTTACGAGAAAAACAGCAGCTTGCAGCTGAGCCTGTACCAACAGGTGTGTGTCTTCTCTCAAAAAGGTAGTCTTTTTCTCTCTCCTTTTTTTTCATATGAAAGGCAGAAGGGCGATTATGTGAAACCACTAGAATAATGTAGAAGTGCTCTAAATAGGCATCAGATGTTTATAGAAAGTATATAGTAATTGAGATCTAGGATTTACAGCTTAATGCTGCCCTAATGTAGAACTGCCTCTTCATTTCAAGTAAGATAAAGCTTTTATTGTTTTGAGGGAAAACTTATTTTCTTGTCATCTGAATGACCAGATGGCCTAATTAAGTAAGTATTCATTTATATTGTCTATTGTTAGAATTATATACCATCAGATGCCAAACTAAAATGTTCCTTACCCTTGATGTTGAACTCAATTTATGGAAAAATACACTTTTCTTTGTGTGCTTATATCATAATATCATGAGCTCTTGACTTTCAGGTGTTTAGTTTGAAAAACAAACTCTGAAGGGTTGAATAAATTAGTTACAAACCTTTGCACAAGAAATCAGATGCTGGTACCTAGTTGCTTCTGTTTCTTTTGACTTTCTGAAGCCCTGGGTTGTTGCTTTTGCATATATACATACTTTTCGGAGTTTTGCCCTTTTTTCCTTTGACAGACACTGCTATTCAAGCCTTATGCTTCTGTCCTGTTTTATTCCAGGTGTCTTTTTGTTAATATACCTTCACCAATGGGTGGGTGACTAGGGGTAATAAAGAGAGACGAGGAACATACCTAGGTAGCTAAGAAAGATGAAACAGCATATTCAGAAAACCCTAGCACAAGGCTCAGTACTGTCCACTTAGCCCTTGACTAAAATAAGTCTGGAACCTCTTCACATTTAAATTCTGTTTTTCTGATCTCATATTATTTTTGTAAGTATAGAGCACAATAATTTTGGAAATGATTATTTTTCTAGGTTTTTTTAACATGTGGGGATTTGGAAGAGTCAACAAACAAGCCCACCAACCTGTTAAAAAGCAGCAAGAAAATGCTACTTCGTATTCACTGGAGCTTATTGGAGATTTGATTGGACACTCGTCATCTGTGGAGGTATTGCTTTTTAGGCATAGATTGTCCAGGCAGCTCGTGCTTTTGCATTTCATTGCTCTTTTCATTCAGTAGCTCTCATAAAGGTATATACTTTTTCTTGTATCTGTAGGTTTTTTGTCAGATCTGAACATGGAATGGGATAGGCTATGGTATGTGCAGTTAGGATCTCCCTTTCCAGAGATACGATTTGAGGTAACAATGCATTGCTTTTAAGAATGGGCTTGGCCGGGCACGGTGGCTCAAGCCTGTTATCCCAGCACTTTGGGAGGCCGAGGCTGGTGGATCATGAGGTCAAGAGATAGAGACCATCCTGGTCAACATGGTGAAACCCCTTCTCTACTAAAAATACAAAAAATTAGCTGGGCACTGTGGCACGTGCCTGTAATCCCAGCTACTCAGGAGGCTGAGGCAGGAGAATTGCCTGGACCCAGGAGGCGGAGGTTGTGGTGAGCCAAGATCGCGCCATTGCACTCCAGCTTGGGTAACAAGAGCGAAACTCCGTCTCAAAAAAAAAAAAAAGAATGGGCTTAATCCCTGTAATTTATAACCTGGAGATAGCTGACAATAAGGGTAATGTGAATAATGTTGACTGTATGGCAGCAGTCAGCAGAGGGTACATGAAGGGTTGTGGTTGTATGTGTACAGTGAAAGCCTTAACAGAACTGAATTCCAGGGCCTTTGTCAAATTCATGAACAGAGTCATGCTTCTACCTGCCTTTGAAGGATAATAATTAGCTTTAATGAAATCCTGTGCCTTCGTTTTCAATGTGCAAATATGAAAATTTTAGTTGAAAATTATAAAATGTATAAGCTTCTAACTTATAGAAATCCAAATACATTAATTTTGCTACAGGCACCATTGCCTATAGTGAAGGAATAAGATCAGTTGAGATAACAGATTAGTTGTGAGAATAACAGTGTAGTGATAACATCATAAGCAGAGCCCTAAGTAATGAATTTCTTCAATTGTTCTTCCCTGTATCCAAAGAACAACACATTTCTTTTCATTTGAAAGGGTATTTATGCTTAGGGGGAGCAGCGGCAGCATGCTTGTAGTGAGCATTTCCTGTATTTCAGGCAATGTGCTAACCACTGGCTGCTGAAGTTTAGAGAGAGATAAATACAGTCCTTGCCCTCATGGATCTTACCCTTGAGTGGAGAGAAGGGGTATAGACCCAGTAGGCTGTTTCCCTAGGCTGCATATGATGGACCTGGGTAAGCAGCAGAGAGTGAATACCCAGGGGTTAGAAAAAACATTTCTTGCTGAATCTTGCAAGTGGTTAGAAGATAAGGGACTTGATACTTGAGATGAACCTTCAAGTTTAGTAGAATGAGTATATAGCCTTGTCAGCAGAAGCCTTGATGTTGGGTATAGTGTCACAGTTATCTTTGCTTTTCTCTAACAAGTAGCTCATAACTTTTTTTGTTTCTGGTTGGGTGGCTATACTATATTTTGGGGAGTTTTTGTTTCTGGTTGGGTGGCTACACTCTATTGCTGGGGAGCATGGAGTATGGTAGACAAAAGGCAGGAGCACCTTTATTTAGGCTGGAGCGCTGGGTTCCTATGAACAAACACTAGTAGGAGATGAAGCCTGGAAAAGTGGTTTGGGGTCATATTATGAATGTCCTTGAATGTAAGGCTGAGGAGTTTGGACTTTATAAGTAGTAGAAACTCATATAAAAGGTTTTTAGGTGGTTGGGAAAACCCCGTAAAACACATTCAAACTGTGTTTGAATGTGGCACATTTCTCATTATATAAAAGTGTCAGCAAGAACAGAAAATGAAATACCGCATATTCTCACTCATAGGCGGGTGATGAACAATGAGAACACATGGACACAGGGAAGGGAGTACTACACACTGGGGTCTATTGGGGGGAATAGGGGAGGGACAGCAGTGGAGGGGGAGGTGGGGAGGGATAGCATGGGGAGAAATGCCAAATGTGGGTGAAGGGGGGGAAGGCAGCAAAACACACTGCCATGTATCTATGCAACTATCTTGCATGTTCTGCACATGTACCCCAAAACCTAAAATGCAATTAAAAAAAATTTTTTTTAAATAATAAAAGTGTCAGCTTCTTAGGAATTTTCCTGAGTAAAGGTGTTGACCCCTGAACATTTTTAAAAAGCATCTCTTGCTTCATTGATAAAATCTAGGCTATCTCTACATTGTCCACTGAATTTCCTCATTTGTTGTTTTTGCACTTTTTTTTTTAAACCTTTCCAAGACAGAATCTCACTATTGCCCAGGCTGGAGTACAGTAACAAAATCTTAGCTCACTGCACCTCCTGCCTCAGTCTCCTGGGTAGCTGGGATTACAGGTGCATGCCCAGCTAACTTTTGTATTTTTTGTAGAGACCGGGTGTTGCCATGTTGGCCAGGCTGGTCCTTTTTTCCATTTTCATCCTTGCTCAACCTCTCTACCTGTGTAACGAATTCTGTGTTTTCCAGTTTCCCAAGGAATTCTGCTGCCATATTTCCTCCCTTTACTCTTGCGTCCTCAGTGAAGTGCTCTCCCATGGTCTTCAGAAATGTATGTCATTTCAGAGAAAACCCTCTCTTTTTTCTTTCCCTGAGATGAATTGTGCTCTTGTTACCCAGGCATGATCTCCGCTTACTGCAACCTCAGCCTCCCAAGTAGCTGGGGTTACAGGCGCCGGCGACTATGCTCAGCTAATTTTTTGTATTTTCCTAGAGATGGGGTTTCACTGTCTTGGCCAAGCTGGTCTCAAACTCCTGACCTCAGGTGATTTGCCTGCCTCAGCCTCCCAGTGTTGAGATTACAGTCGTGAGGCACAATGCCCTGTTTTTTTAAATTTTTTATTTTACCCTTTCCTTCAAGGACCTCATCCTTTTTTCATGGGTTCATCTTTTCTCTGATACAACCCTTCACCCTGTAGTATTTGTGCTACCTTTTCATCAACACTCTCTTTTACTATTCTTAGCTTCCAACCTACTCTTTCACTGGGCAAGCCCCTTCCCCTTCTTGGGGAGTTTTCTCACATTGAAGCTTTTTCTCAATACCTGTGGTATGTCATATTCTGTACTGCATTATTTAGTACCTGATTACATAATCTTTCATTGGTACCTTTGTTTCAGTTAGAATTTGCTTTTCAGAATCTTCTTGAGGGTAGGGACCATAAACCTAGTGCTGACACTCAATACCTATGGACTGATTGAGTATCTACTTTTATGGAGAGAGCTGAAGCCAGTGTTTCTCTTGGGAAATTGAGAATTCAGACATTTTATCTATAGCCCTTGTACATAATGGTTAAAACCAATACTTCAGAAATCAGAGTATGGTAAAATCTGGAAGAACTATGGGAATTTGTGTACTTTACAAAGTAGCTATTTTGTATTTGAAGAATATTAACAAAATTCTGATTAAAATATTATGTATTATTTGTATGTGACTGTTACCAATACTGAAAAACGAAGTTTTACACTCAGATCCAAGGAGTCTCTAAAGCACATATCTCATGTGCACATGTGTTAATGTGGCATTAGCTGCTTCTCGAGGTCCCTATCATCAGTTTTCATTTTTTTTTCAGGTGTTTCTATACTTTGAAGATCATGGACTGGTGACATGCTCTGCTGATCATCTCATTATTTTGTGGAAAAATGGAGAACGAGAATCTAGATTGCGCAGTTTAAGATTATTTCAAAAATTAGAGGAGAATGGTGACTTACACCTTGCTCTCTAAGGAATTAAAAGTATAATGCATGAACCTTGTACATTAAATATAGGTATTACTCTGAAAACCATTAACATTCATTTAAATTTGTAAATTTTGTCCATAAAATTCTACATTTAACTTTTTTGTGGACCTACCAACCAGGAACATGTTGCTTCTCAGGTCCTAGTACATCCTCCAAAGAATCTACAAGTTTTCCATCTGACTTTGAGCTGCTGTTGAAGTGGTGAGTGCTGTTTTTTGAGCTTATTTTGAACCTAGACCCTTGTGAAAGGTACAAATAGAGGTAATAGTATAGTTGTGGCATTTATTAAAAGTTTTATTATTTGGGTTCCTTTAGAATTCTTTTGATGAGTTTAAAAATAGCCTTTCTCCTGCAAATTTTTCTGGTCTTTAGTAACATTAGTCTTGTACAGCACAAACTTGAATCTCTCTGCCAAAAAAATGAACATATACTGTAAGTACTGCAAGTTTTTTTTTTGTACCAATATGTTTAGATAATTTAAAAAAGGGTTTTTAGTTACACATACTAAAACCCATATGAACCTAAATGGATAGGAATCTTATGAGGGTGTATTTTTTTCCCCATTGTGAACTGGCTTGAACAGCCATGGGCTAGATTGGTACTAGAACAACTGCCCCTCATGTACCCCAAGGATAAGCACAGCTGCGCCCTGACTCACGAACTGCTTGAGACAGACTTCCTTTCTGTAGTTGTTTGCAGTGTCCATCCAGTCACTATAACCAGCCTTGTAACAGTATGTTTTCTCCTTCTGGTGCTAAAAAATAAAGTTAGAAAGTAGTCTACACATTAAAGATTGAAATTCTTAAACTACTGATTAAAGAAAGGGCAGCGTTACTGATGTTAATGGACTGACCATTTTTCCAGAAAACCTTCTACACATTTACTTGTTCATTATACAAATATATCCTACAGGGAATCTTTATAAGTTCTTTTTACTAGTTTTAGCTTTGACAGTTGCCTCCACACCCATCTACAGTCAGAGACGGGAAGAGTTAAGATCATCTAGGTAGACCAATGGCATAATGTTATCAATGAGGAAAGTGAGGCCCACTGTTGTAAGGCCTTAAAGTGAACTCTGTAGTGCCCCGTGTCACCAAGCAGGAATTGAAGACTGAATGAGAGAAAGGGTTATATAACTATCTTAAATCCGAATAACATTTAGTCATGAAAAGTTCTATGGAGAAATCACTAAGCTACCTCCATTACAGAACAGAAGACTTTCTCCCATTACTGTGTGCTTTTTTTCTTTGGGAATTCTATAATACACATATATTTGTAAAGTGGTTTTCTTAAATTGTATGATACAACAGAGTCATACATTTGTAACCGTTTTACTTCCTAGCTGTTCTGGATTAGTATTTTATGATAGTAATCTATTTAAATGGAGTGGTAAAAAACACATGAATTTTGGAAGCAAACGGTACTATAGTACCACAGCAAATTCCTTCTATCATTATACAAGCATGCTTTGGAGATATTACAGGTTAGGTGTCAGACCACATCAAAAAAGCAAGTATTGGAATAGATTGAGTCACATCTAGTTTTTGGTTTCCCAGTGTCTATAAAAATTATGTTTATACTGTAGTCTTACATTTCTAAAAAATGTACATACTTTAAAAGTACTTTATTGCTAAAAAAAATGCTAACAATCATCTGAGCCTTCAGTGAGTCATACTCTTTGCTGCTGGAGGCTCTTTATATTGCTGGTGGTTGCTGAAGGTTGGGGTGGCTGTGGCATTTCCTTTAAATAAGACAGTGATGAAATTTTCCACATCAATTGACGTCCTTTTACAAAAGATATCTCTGTAACATGTAATACTATTTAGTAGTGTTTTACCCACGGAATTTTCTTCAAAATTTGTCATCTAAAACCCTGATGCTACTTTATCAACTCAACTAAGTTTATAGAATATTCTAAAGCCTTTGTTGTCATTTCAACTATGTTTACAGCATTTTCACTATGGAATGACTGTCTCCAGAAACCACTCTCTTTATACATTCTTAAGCAACTTCTCATCTAATTAAAGTTTGATCATGAGATTACAGCATTTCAGTCACATCTTCAGGCTCCCCCTTCTTCCAGATTCCTTTTAATATTGAAATTTTGACCACCTCCCATGAATCAGAATGTTCTTATTGGTATCTAGAATGGTAAATCCTTCCCAGAAGGTTTTCAGTTGACTTTGCCCAGACCCATCAGAGGAATCACTAGTTATGGCAGCTACAGCTTTATGAAATGTATTTCTTTTAAATTAGACTTAAAAGTCAAGTGACTCCTTGACCCATGGACTACAGCATGGATGTTTTGGTAGCAGGCAAGAAAACATGAACCTCCTTGTACATCCATCTTAGCTCTTAGGTGACCAGGTGCATTGTCAATGAGCAATATTTGTAAAGAAATTTGAGTGGGTCTCAACCATAGGCTTAAAATATTCAATAAACCATGCTATAAACAGATGTGCTGTTATACAGGCTTTGTTGTTCCACTTCTAGAGCATGGGCAGAGTAGATTTAACAATTCTTAAGGTCGTTAAGGTTTTGGGACTGGTAAATAAACCCTGACTTCAGCTTAAAGGCACCAGCTATATTTGCAGGCATTGAATTTCTCCTATGAAAGTCCTAGATGACATCATCTTCCAAGAGAAGGCCATTTCATCTTCACAAACTCAGTAGTTTAGTCACCTTCAGTGATCTTAGCTAGATCATCTGGATGACTTCCTGCTGTTATCCCTTGCACTTTGATGTTATGGAGATAGATAGCTTCTGCATCAACCAACCTCTGCTTGCTTCCAGCTTTTCTGTTGTAGGTTCCTCACCTCTCAGTCTTCAAATAATTAGGCTTTGGCTTAACGGAATGTTGTGACTGGTTTGATCTTTTATATAGACTACTCAAACTTTCTCCATATCAGCAATAAGGCTGTTTCACTCTTATTTGCATGTTTACTGGAGTAACACTTTCAAGAAGTCTTCCTTTGCATAACCTGGCTAACTGTTGTAAGAGGCATGGCTTTTGACCTGCCTGGGCTTTCAAGACACCTTGAAAGCCTTCCTCAATAAGCTTAATTAGCTGTAGCTTTTGATTTAAAGTGAGAGACATGTGACTCTTTCTTTTACTTGCCCACTTAGAAGCTATTGTAGGTTATTAATTGGCTAAATTTCAATATAGTTGTGTCTCAGCAAATAAAGAGGTGCAAGAAGAGGGAGAGATTAGAAACTGCTAGTTGGTTGAACAGTTATAATATACACAACATTTATCACTTAAGTTCACTGTCTTATATGGGCATGGTTTGCAGTACCCTAAAACAATTATAATTACAAACATCACTGATCATAGACCACCTTGACAGATACAAGAATAAAAATGCTTGAAATAAATACTGTGAGAATTACCAACATGTGACCTAGACACAAAGTGAGCCCATGTTGGAAAAAATGTGCTAATAGATTTGCTCTATGCAGGGTGGCCACAAGCCCTCAATTTGTAGAAAAGGCAGTATCTTTGAAGCACGATGAAGCAGAATGCAATAAAATGAGGTATTCTCATATTCTAATTATCTGCCGTGAAAAACAACTATGTCTAGAGGGCAGTCTCCAACCCTAGGAGCTAGATTGCTTTTGTTTTCATGCATGCTCTAAGGTCAGAGAGGGGATAACAGCATGATGGAAGATTCTGGTAGGAACTCAAACCTGATGGTGTTCAGTAGTTACATGTAGACTGCTGCTAAAAGTTGGACTTTCAATTTAGAATAATAGATCAATGTAGATTACATATTCTCCATTTCTCGAGTTTAGCTTTCAACACTTAAGATACTTACAGCAGCAGAAGTAACACTATGTAGTGTTACAATGTGTACAAATGCTTTGTCATTTTTATTTAAAAATATATTTGTTACCTCAGTCTCTGGCTGTATTCACATAGCACAAGAGCACAGGGTCATCCCTCCTCTTTTTCTCTCTAAAGCCAAGTAGGTTCTGAGTGAACCAATGGGCTTTTTTGCCCTGAAGGCTCACTACTACTGACTAGGAGGGCAAGTCAATTTTAAAATCTTAAATTAGAAATAAATAATGATCTTAGGAAATTATAGGGTCATTCTGGTCCAACAATGTTTTATAACTAGCTTCCTTCTTCTCTTTAGTAGTCATGGAAATACTTAGAGTTGCATTTTCCTAATACAGCCCCCCTCAATACATGACGTTTAAGTAAACAACTCCGTATAAGAGGCAGTTATAATAGTTTATATAATATAAACTATCTGATACACATACCATCTGAAAGCCTGTATTTCTAACAAGTTGACTACATGGAAGACTATACTAGTTTGCAGCTCAGAAGATTATACTGTAGATTACACTGGTAAAGAGCAAAAATTGCTGAAGCTTTAGCTTTTTTAAAGCTAGCTCTCTTAAAGCATTTTTAAACATTTGCGCACTACTAATAAGTTTGAATTTAACATCAAACTTGACATAACAGTAAGAAGATGTCAGATAAGATGTCCCTTATCATCTAACAAAAATAATGTTACTTACCCAATAGAACTGATAGTGAGATGATCAGAAAAAGACTGTCCTTGCCTCCCTCAAGCTAGCTTCTGAAGCCTAGGCAAGTTAGCTAGCTCCTTCATATGGGATTCTGGCCTCCTGATTTTAATGTGCTCTGAAAACAAAGCGTGTGACTCATGAAATAAAGGACACTAAACCCCAAATTTGAAATTATGAAAAGTTTAGGCCAAAGAGGTAAAATAAAAACAGCTGCTGGGAATGAAAAATGGCTGTAGGAATTTAGTTACAAGTACTTCATGAAAACATTTTCATCACATTTACATAATATAGCATTACAATACAAAGCTGGCTGCTGTCCTGACCAAGCAAGGTCTCTTATCATCTAACAAAAATAATTTAGATACATTTCTTTGCATGGAATTGTCCTATTTTTCCATTTTTGGTACAAAACATAGAAAAAAACATTGGCACATTATGTAGTGATAAGTCATTTTTTCCCCATGTACAAGTTCCAAGTATTCTGCATTCCAATTTGTATGGAAAAAAAGTAACTACTGATTTAATTAATTCTCTGTTTATACCTTTTAAAAATGCAGCATGAAGTACAGAGAAAGAAAAACTAAGTTTGTTTACGGAGTCTAATATTTATAATACATAGAGAAGGATCAGCTGGGTAAAAGAAAGGAAAATCTCAAGTTTGACTATGTAGATCACAGAAAGTTGTGAAAAGAGCAGTATAAAAATATGCACTTGTGCTTTAGAAGCTTTTAGCATACAATTAATAGCTTAAAATAGTATTTACTGCCTCCCCATATGCCTATTTTCTGATATATTTACACCGCACAATTTTAACATTGTTAAAGCAAATGGCATGATTTCAAATATAGATTGGTTAAAAACATCTGAACCTTGAAACTTCCCCTGTCCCCTCCCGAAATATCGTATAGGTGGTGCATGGCACAACATCTTCCATGGGCTTACACCCAGAAATTTTGGATTTTAATAAAAATTTTAAACATTTATATAAACTTCTTTTTTTTAAAAAAAAAAAAAAAAAAAGCTTGTCCAAGGGCATTCAGATTTAATGGCTTTTATATAATACTTGGTAGAGTGCCTCATGGCTACCTCTGTGAGCCTGAAATAAGGGAAGCTCATGGATTCCCTCCCCGACAATGACATGCCACTTTTTCCCTCATCATAGATGGCTTTCTGTTAAGATGAATCCCTTTTACAGGAAAGTGGGTAAACAGGCTGCTGATACCAGTCTAGAGAGGGCACCCACCAGCCAAAGCTGCATTCTAACCTGGGTGTCACACCATTAGCAAGAAGAACCATGTAGCCATAGAGGCTGTGAAGCTAACTAGTTGATCTGTAATTTGGTCCTAGTTGTTTCACTTATTTTTTGTAGTTTTTTTCTTAGATACATCTGTTCAGATAAACTTATGACTCCTTCAGATCGATGCTCTTGAGGAAGATAGTCAAGCTAAACAGCAAATATGACTGTTATGGTAAGGGATGAGCTGAGTACTAGCTAAGCTACTTAGTCACCATCCTGGCGGATGAGCTCACAGACACCAAGGCTTTGCTTCCTGTGGCCGGCTAGTTACGGTGAATCAGCTCCATGGATTGACAGGGGTACACAGGATGACAGCAGAGCACAGGAGTTTGCCACTTTGTTCTGTCATTAAGTGTTCAAACAAATGTGTATTTTTCTTCATGGACTATAACTTTCTAAAATGAAATTTGGGGACTTGAATGATTCAAGGTCAAATATTAAACATTACCTCCTTCACCAGTACCTGTCATTGTCATTAGAAAGGAAAGCCTCTTATTTACACTACTGTGATTCACAGTGTCCTTTTTAGGTCAAGAGGCCCCTTCTGTGGCTTGGCTTTAGCTGTCAGATGGAAGCCTCAGACTTTTGCACTTTAGGTCATCTAGTGTCTTCCAGTGTTTGTAGTTGTCAGCCAGATGTTGCATCAGGGCTGGCAGATGTGCAAAGGCTGCAAGGACAGAAAGGAATCAAAAGAAACCTGTTAAGTTAGACCCTAGGAGCATCTGTAAGTGGGGGGCTATCTGAGGCAAGTTTGGGATCAGAATTAGAGGAGCCATACCCTGGGTGAGGCCTTAGGCTGTAAGGACAAGTCATTAAACACTAGTTTCTGAAATACAGGTTCTTTTTGAAAAGCTGCTCATCAGTGACATTAACAGAAGAACCTGTGATTCAGAGTAATTACATTTTGCATTCTTTCCAGAGTTTCCTCCAATGATAAAATAAAACTGCAGTAGGCTTCAGCAACATGTCCTTTAAAGAGGGAAAGACTCGCTTATCCAGTTATCAAACATCCATTGAGTCTTCTGCACATAAGGTTCTGTGCCAGGTGCTGGGGTTGCAAAGAATGCACCCCACCCCACTCAGCCACAAAAAGCTGACAGCGACATTTTTTAAAAATGTATTTTGTTTACATTTAGGCCCAGCCTACATCATTAAAGATAATCAAAGTGTAATAAAATGTTCTTTGTGGGTGACAAAACAGTAACTGTCTTACCATCCCATGCATCAAACATGTCTGTTATGAAGTAGTCAATGAAAGATATCTGAGACTTGGGGATGCTACAGGTATTCCGGTCAAACACTGGCATCACCACAGGGAGCCCCTGTCTCTTCTCTTCATCAGTCTGTAAGAAAAAAACACCACCACATAGGGCTGTAGGACATGTGAAACACTTTCATGGTAATATCCAGTTTCTCAGAACAACCCTATGAAAATGGGTCATTAGCCAGTTTTCTCAATGAAGCAATAGGCTCGGCAAGGTCCTCAGACTTACGTAAGTCAGCTGAGCTACAGTGACTGCATTTCTGTTTTTATTTTTGGGATTGAGTCTCACTTTGTTGCCAGGCTGGAGTGCAGTGGCGCAATCTCGGCTCACTGAAGCCTCTGCCTCCTGGGTTCAAGTGATTCTCCTGTCTCAGCCTCCTGAGTAGCTGGGATTACAGGCACCTACCACCACACCTAGCTAATTTTTGTATCTTTAGTAGAGATGGGGTTTCACCACATTGGCCAGGCTGGTCTTGAACCCCTGACCTCAGGTGATCTGCCTGCCTTGGCCTTCCAAAGTGCTGGGATTATAGGCATGAGTCACTGTGCCCAGCTCCAAGCCTCTTACTTTCTATGCGATACCATACCATCTCCTGACACAATGATCTCAGGGTAGTTAGCTCCTTTTCTGTGATCTGCTTTCATTATTGCAAAGTAAAAGCTATTTTCAAAGTCATAGAAACACGAATTCTTATACCAAAACTGATATTTACACTGAGAAGAAGCAATAGTGGGTAAAACTGCTAATACCTTAGCATGACTCAACAAAGTAGCACCAAACTGTATTAATAGTCATAGTCATTGTACTATTCGCTGCCACATGTTTGCACTTTAAAAAAAAGTTTCGGCTGGGCACAGTGGCTTATGCCTCTAATCCCAGCACTTTGGAGGACCAAGACAGGTGGATCACAAGGTTACAAGTTCAAGACCAGCCTGGCAAAGATGGCAAAACCCCGTCTCTACTAAAAATAAAAAATTAGCTGGGTGTGGTGGTAGGCACCTGTAATCCCAGCTACTCAAGCAGAGAACTGCCTGATCCTGGGAGGTGGAGGTTGCAGTGAGCTAAGATCGTGCCACTGCACTCCAGCCTGGGCAAAGAGTGAGACTCTGTCTCAAAAAAAAAATAGTTTCAGGCTGGGAACAGTGTCTCATGCCTGTAATCCCAGTGATTTGGGAGGTCAAGGCAGGAGGATCGTTTGAGGCCGGGAGTTTGAAGCTGCAGTGAGCCAGGACTGTGCCACTGTATTCTAGCATGGGTGAAGAGACCTTGTCTCAAAACAAAAAACCAAGTTCTACTTAACAGTGTCTTCTTTGAAGCAGTTATTAATTGTATGAAATCTTGACCTTTGAGTACATATTTCTAATATTCTGTGTGATTAATGTGATGAGATGGGAAGTATGTGCACTTGCACTGCATACCAGTCTGCTGATCGTCTGTGGAAAAACACTTATGCACTTGAATTGATCTGAACCAGCTCCTTTTTTCCATGGAGCATTATCTTTTACTCAAAAGAATGACGGTCAAACTATGATTGTTCAGATTTGGGTATTAGCCATGCAGCTTTTGAGGTGTGTGGAAATCTGAGTATTATGCACATTAAAGTAAGTCCATCATTCATTGAGCTGAATATTAAGATCTGCATTTCCTGGTGGTGTATTGAGCCAGAGGCCAGCTCAAAGGCTGCATTTGTAACTTTCATTTTTAGGTCACCCTGGTGTATGAACGTTAGTACATTCCTTTTTGGGAAAAGGACACCTAAATAGGAAGCTTACATCAAAAAACTTAAAAGCACATTTTTTTCATTCTCCATTCGCGTTGAGAATAACTAGGAGTAGTACTTAAGGTCCTCCCTCTGTGGGTCCTGGGAAACACATTGATGAACAGAGCCTTTGGCTTGGCTCATTTCAGGTCAGTTGATCAAGCAGCCTTAAAATATCCACTGGTGTCCAGGGAGTCATTTGATTCCCCACCCCTTCCTGTTCTCTCTGGAAAGCTGAGAACCACCTGTCCTACTTTTCTTCAATTCAGTGCCCTCTTTCCAGAAAGCTGCAGTTTACTTACTGGATTTCATGAACAACCCTTCTCAAAAGACAAGATATATGCAGCCACAAACAAAAATGTCCAGGCTGGGCATGGTGGCTCACACCTGTAATCCCAGTACTTTGGGAGGCCAAGGTGGGCAGATTGCCTGAGCTCAGGAGTTCAAGACCAGCCTGGGCAACACCGTGAAACCCCATCTCTACTAAAATACAAAAAATTAGCCAGGTGTGGTGGCGTGTACCTGTAGTCCCAGCAACTTGGGAGGGCGAGGCAGGAGAATTGCTTGAACCCAGGAGGCAGAGGTTGCAGTGAGCCAAGATCGCACCAATGCACTCCATCCTGGGCAACAGAGTGAGACCCCATCTCCAAAAAATAAAAAAAAAAAGTCCAGCATCACTACTCAGACATGTAAGTCAAAACCACAACAAGATACTATCTCACACTAGTCAGAATGGCTATTACTAAAAAGTCTGAAAATAAGAGATGTTGGCAAGGTTGTGGAGAAAGAATGCTTATACACTGTTGCTGAGAATATAAATTAGTTCAGCGGGCCGGGCGCAGTGGCTCACGCCTGTAATCCCAGCACTTTGGGAGGCCAAGGTGGGTGGATCACGAGGTCAACAGATCGAGACCATCCTGGTCAACATGGTGAAACCCCATCTCTACTAAAAATATAAAAAATTAGCTGGGAATGGTGGCGCGTGCCTGTAATCCCAGCTACTCAGGAGGCTGAGGCAGGAGAATTGCCTGAACCCAGGAGGCGGAGGTTGCGGTGAGTCGAGATTGCGCCATTGCACTCCAGCCTGGGTAACAAGTGAAACTCTGTCTAAAAAAAAAAAAAAAATCAGCTAGCCCCTGTGGAAAACCTTTAGGGGATTTCTCAAAGAACTAAAAATAGAAATTGCCATTCAACCTAGCAGTCTCCATTACTGGGTGTATACCCCGCCCCCACCAAAAATGAATCATTCTACCAAAGAGATACCTGTACTTGTATGTTTATTGCAGCACAATTCACAAAAGACATGGAATCAACCTTGGTGCTATCATGGATAAAGAGTATGTGGTGCATATAAGCCATGGAATACTATGCAGCCATAAAAAAGAATGAAATCATGTCCTTTGCAGTAACATAGGATAATGGTCTCCAGCTCTATCCAAGTGAAGTAATGTAGAAACAAAACCAATTACCACATATTCTTTCTTGTGAGTGGGAACTAAACACTGGGTACACACAGTGGCAGAAACTGGAAGAGTAGAGACTTCAAAAGGGAAGGAAGGGGGCAAGGGTTGAAAAACGGCTTATTGGGTACTATGTTCACTACTTGAGCCATGGATCATTAGAAGCTCAAACATCAGCATCAACAATATGCCCTTGTAACAAACTTGTAACAGCCCTGCACATGTACCCTAAATCTTACTGGGTCCTCTGCTGGCCACTCCCCTTCCCAGTCCTCCTAGGCATCACCTATTCTTCTTCTGCCCTTATTTATCCTGCCTCCTCAGTATAGTTCAGCCATGCAGACCCCACAAAATTCACTACTTGGGGCTACTACTTTGTCAACCACACACACATCAGTGCCTAGAGCCCTTCCTCGGGAAGTAGGGCTCTGTTTCAAATGTTCACTTGCAGTCTACCCTTCTAGATTTATCTCCTTTAACTCTTCTTTACACTGCCAGTTAAAGTGAACTACATATTGCTCTTTATATAAAAATTCTATTTTTCCTCCCCTTGTTGATTTTACTCAGAATGCTTTGTTCTTCCACAGAGTCTTTTCCTGTTTCCACATTTCTGTAGCCCCTGTTTTATCTAGGAAAAAAAGGCTTTCTGAACTCCTGTAGCACTTAACATAAACTTCCTTAAGATATGCTTTGTTTTTTTTTTTACCAACATGTGGATCTATCTACATCCCTTCCCCCACTGGGCTGGGAACTCCCCGTGGCCATGATGTCTTCGCTAATCCCTGTGTTCCCATAATGCACCATAAAGACGCCCAGGAATAACCTAGTAAATGAATGAAGATTTCTCAATTTTTGTGGAAGTTCTGGATCCAACAATTTGAGGATAAAAATTTACTCCCAAAGGCTCAATTTATCCCTCTTATAGAGAGACTTTTTTTTTAGTGACCAGCCTCATCCATCAGTTCCTGAGGGAAACAGAAGTCTACTCCAGGCAGAGGGGTGAGCTGCTTGGAGTAGCAGGGAGGAGTGGTTAACTAATTGGTAAAAAGTTACTCAGCTGGAGAATTCCCTAGGAGTTCCATGACCTGGGGCCCATTCCCCAAAGGGAACTGGAAAGATGGCGCACCTGTGCAAAATACTCCTCAGAGATCCTCCCAGCCCATTCAATGCACAGGTCCAAGGGGCGGCATGGGTTGGCCACGTCAGCACACTTAATCATCATGCGTTTGATCAGGATTTGGTTTTCAGGGAAGTTCTTCCCAGCAGGGTTGCATTCACAGTCGCTGCCCTCAATCTGGAAAACAGAGGGTTCAGATCAGAGTTGGTTCAAGATGATGGGGAAGACTACAAGGACTAACTCACCAGGCATTCAGTGATGATCACCGAGCACAGAGGTGAGACTGGGACTCAGCAAAGGCTGCTTTTCCTTTTTATAATTCTATATATACTGATAGATTCTTTAAAAAAAAAAAAAGAAGAATATACTAATAGAGCTTTAAAGACACTCAGCAATACAAACAGAGTTTCAAAGTTCAAAGTCCCTATCACTACCCATCTACCCCTCACATCCATTTTCTTCCCCAGAGGTAACTGCTATAGTTTTGTTTTTATTTTGAGCAATTTGATAATGTAATCTTACAAGGAATTTCTTCCTTTTTTTTTTTTCAATGTGTAACAGCAGAACTTGTATCTACTTTAATCCATTTAAAGTAGGGCAGTAGCACATACACATAAATGTGACCCTTCAATTTCTTGATTTATTTCTACTACTTAGGCCTACCAGCTCCCTCCCTCCTGTGACCTGTCCCACCCTCAACTCCCCCACACTCCCCACACTCTGGTTCTCCTAAGGCATGTGTCCACTTATGCTTTCTTGGCTGTTCTTCTGACTGGTTGGTAAGTGAGCCAGGTAGGTGTGGGGTCCTTGGAGTAGAAAGTGGTCAGGAGCAGGTGTGTTCAGCCAAGCTTAGAAAGACTGTTCCACACCCTGGTCCAGACCTAGTGGTGATATCAGTGTCCCGAGCCATGTGGCCAGGACATGAGTTTGTGCACATAGATGCAATCACAGGCCACTTACATAGAACTTGGAAGATTATTATTCTCCACTTTTAAAGTCACCATCAGATTGATTTTGGGAAAACAATTAGTTCTCCAGAGCTCTGCCAAGCCGAGACTGCATGACATTTGGGGCTTTAAGATTGGACCTATTTACTAGACTATCAATGGACAGAATATGTTCTGAAGGTTTTTGATTACTTATCAAAGTAGTACTGTTTACTATAAATACTGCAGTTAATAGTAAATTTCAATGCAGAGTTGGGGGTTTACATAGATGGATGACCTTCCCAGTTCTAAGTTCTGTGATTCTGCATACTTTTCCTTCTCTAAATCCCCAGATCCTTGCTCCCACAACTCTTCTATTGAAGGAGAGGACTCTGATGTGCTGTGGAATCCCTGGGGAAAGGTGTTAATAGGTGAGGTAGACACTGTCCCTCCATCCAGACTGGTCATGGGATGGGTCCTACACAGATAGTCTCCTTACTGATCTAGTTACTCAAGAAGATCGTTCACTATCCATCCACTTTGCCAACCTCTTCTGCTTAACAGGAATGAGCAGAAAGCTTTTCTACCCTTATGGAGTTACGAACAGCTTCATGAGTTCAGAGAACAGTGGATCTTACTAGGTGTGAACCTTCTGTTTCATGTTCCTAAAACTCAAATTGGTAAGGATCTTAAGGCATGTCCAAGGTACAGAAGTAGGTTTTACAACAAATGCTTCTGCTTTCCAGTCACTCCCAGTCTTATGGTAGTCTTCAGGTACTGGTATGCTTTTAATGTGAATCAGGAACATTCTTTGTTCTTTAAAACACTCTCCAACTTTGAGGTTTCCCAAGAGCTCAATGAACAGAGAGATAAAGGCACTGGATTCTCTAAAATGCCACCATTTATGCTAGTCTCTGCTCATCTACGGCTCCTTCCATCATATTCTTTGGGCCTAGCTTTTTTGGTCAGTACTGGCTTTTTCTCAGGGCCTTTCTTCCAAGGAGCTCAGAGTTGCTGTGGGCACAGTTCATTCTCATCCTCAAGAAAAACAAGTGGCCAGTCCTTTCAGCCCTTTACCAACTCCAAGCAAATAACCACCTTGCATTTGAGTGGGAGAGAAAATGCTTCAGGGCCAGAGCAGGCTCTCATGGAAATGTACGTGCATGTGCCTTATGGCATGGAAAGCTCACCTCAGCTGCCATTGGCTTGTTGATGCTGTTCACAAACTTATTCACATGTTCAAAGTGTTTTGTCATTTCTGTTGCCAAAACCATGTCAATAATAGCCTGGCGCAGCGTTCGATAATGGTTCCTAAAATAACCAGAAGATAAAAAGGCTTGTTCACAGTGTGTCTCGAATTATAACTATCCTGCCAGCATTTCACTACACTCCTCACAACCTAGGAGGAAGCTGGGGCAGAGTTATGAAATGTGTGCAGATCACAAGAAGAGTTTACCTGCTCGTCCTCCCAAAAATGCAGATGCTATTCTATTTTCCCCAGTGACAGCTGACCCTTCTGTATGTGATTTGTGAGTATTTTAAAAAAGAGAGAAGATACCTGTCTTACGGTGGACATTTATCTGACAAGGTGATTCCCCTCTCCCTTCCCTTGAGAACATTAAAACAGTAAGGTGGCAGGAAGTGGCAGGCAAGCACGGCAGCCACATAAGCTGGCCCCCTGTGCTCTGTGCAAACATAGTGATTCCCATTGCACAGCATGGCCACGGCCTCTTTCAATGATGGCATTAGAAGATTTTCCTGTTAATAAGTAATTCTCTAGATTGCAGTGCATAGAAGTTGTAACGAATGAAGCAACAACCCTGCCCCAAATTACCATCCAGTTCTATCACTTTTTTCTAACCTCAAGAGCCAGAATGGCTTTTGAATAAAATTGGCTATTGGAAAGAATTCTTTCTGCAAAAGTTTAAAAACCCATCCTCGATACTGATGAAACTGAAGCCAAAGCTGGGATGACTCATCTCCATGTTTTCCCAGTTGTTTTCTGGAGACCAGACTGACAGGCTCACATAGATCAGCGGTCCTGAGGCCCGAGTGAGCTCTGTGTTCTCTGTACACTGCACCCTCCCAGGCGTCTGTCCACCAGCCTGGCTGGTGCTGTGTGGAAAACACCCATAGTCTGACTGCAAGATGCTGGCGGGCAAGAGGAGCTGCTCATAATTAATCCACTTTCATCAGAGGAGAATGCAGGGCTAGGGGAACCTGCCTGACACTTCATGCTCCTGCTTCTCTGTGGGAACTACTCATGAGGGACTGTTTTAAGTGGCCGAATATTGAGCTGGCGAAAAATGGGGTGGATCATTTTCCTTGAGTTACACAAAAGACAGGATGTCCTCCTCATAGGAGGGTAAAAATATCTGCTGTACTTTCTAATAATACAATCCATATTTATGTAGTGTTCTACAGTGTATAAAACATTTTTATGAACTCACTGAAGACTAAATGAGATTTCAAAATGTAAAGGCAGTCTGAAAAATCAAGGGGCAAGGTTATTTCATCATCTGATACAGTGGGACAGCTATTATTTTCCCTTTCCCCTAAAAGGAAGCTAAGTCTTTGGGAAAACCTAGTTTACCACTTAAACTTCACAACTTGAGCACAGGAGCCCAAGCACAACAAACCTGTCAATATTCTTGAAAATGTTGCACTTGGTGTCCTTGACTGTGAGCTGGAAGGCCAGGGCAGTGTGGTGGCTCTCCAGAACCGCAGTGTCATTATAGAGCACAGCAAGCTCGCTGCCTGCATTGCAGAGGAAAGAGTTGGTCCTTCCTGGGTGATCCACGTCATGGACCGTGGCAGCAATGAGGGCTGCCACCTCATCCAGCTGATCGAGGCTTCCCTGGGATAAGGAGGAGGCAAGGTTGAGCATTACCCACTGGATCTTAGAGAACTGCATCCATCCCTGCCTGTGCAGAGGGTTGGGTCAGAGGATTTGGGATTTTCAGAACGTTTTTAGCCTGCTGAGCCTTCTGACTTCCTAGATGTGGAGAGGCGGGAATGGACATGCAGCATCGCTTTACTCTGCTGTTAGCTGTCGGGAAACCTGAGCCACAGTTACAACAGATGTTTCTGCAGGAAGAGGCCCAACAGGCCTTTTGAATTGCCCACTGGATGGTATTACTGCCGTAGCAGAAAGTGGCCTGTGATCAGAAATATTACCAATTTGCCCACTTCTGAAAAGATTTTGAGTGTGCTGGTAGCAAATGGCTCAGACACAATGAAATTATTCACACAATGGCGAAATAACTGGAGCTGAGCAGTAAAAGATGACCAAGGGAAAGAAGAATGACTGCCAGGAAAATTAAGGCTAAGGGGGCTCTTGCAGCTAGGAACAAAATTCAGCTCTGGGCTAGCAGGCAGCAGAGGCAAAAAGGGAAACCCTATTTCGAAAGCTCTCATTATGTAATTAACACAAACCAGAGCACGTGGGGGTACAAGTGTTTTCTGAGCCTGCAGCTTTAGGAGGGAGTTATCAGATGGGCTATGTTATATAAGAGATGCTATACTATGAATGTATTATTTATTGAGTGCCTACTAGGTACCAGTTATCACCACAGAGTGCCAGAGCTGCAGTGATGATTTACACCGGCACAGTCTGCACAATGGAGTTTGTCATACAGAGGGAGAGAGACAAATAAATTTTAAAACAAATAGAAGTAACTTACTGTGAGATGTGCCCAGAAGGAAAGCGCAGTTACTTTGGAAATAGAACCATGGGGCCTGGTCTACTTTTTGCAGCACTGTCCAATGTATTTTTTGCGATGAAAGAAATGTGTTCTATTTGTGCTATCCGACAAAGTAACCCCTAGTTGCATGCAGCTACTGGACACTTGAAATGCAGCAGTGCACCTGAGGAACTACATTTTAAACTTTATTTAGTAGCTACGTGAGGCTGATGGCTACCATATCAGATAACGTGAGTCCAGAGCGGGGACACTTCCAATGGAGTGATTTTTATGCTGAGCCTGAAGGGGAAGCAGGAATTGTCCAGGCAACAAGCGGCAAGAGGGAAATTCCAGGCAGAAAGAACAGCCTACATGAAGCTCCTAAAGTCCAACCAAAAAGGTCTGTTCAGGAAACGTGAAGATCATCATCATGGCTGAAGGGGAATAGCGAGTGAGAGGGAAAGTGGTCCCTAAGATGAGGGGTCATATTTTTGGTATTCTCAAAATTTGCTCTAGGAGAGCTGCTGCTCAGGTAAGGAAGGTGAACCTGTAGCTCAGCACTGTCCTGCGAGGGCACCCTGATGGCCAAGGGGCAGCACATGCATGTGCTGCTTTAGCATTGTAGTGGGCTTCCCTGAAAGCTCTGTCCCGCCAAGAAGGGAGCCATTTCCATTCACAATGCTGACCCCATGGAGCTGGTGAGCAACCCTGGGCTGACCCCAGCCAACACAACAGGCCTCCTGAGTAGCGACAGCAGAAGTTACACCTTTCATCTCTGATTCTGTGGTGCGCCCAGGGCAAGCACACACAATTGGGCCCGTTCCACTGCTGCTCAGGAGAGGCCACGGTCACCTGCAGGCACATTCAGCTATCTCCAAGCTCAGGACCAAGGACTGTCCCAACCTGGGCTCCACCTTCACTGACTGTATCTGAGCAGTGAGAACCCACAGGGCCCAAACTCTGGGCCTCCAGCTAGGGCCCCTATGGTGTGTTCAATCCTGCTGGAGTCTCAGGCCTGTTTATTTTTTAATTCTTCAGTGAAATAGATTCAAGTAACTGGGGTAGAAAACATAGAAAGCACTAGATGGAACATGCCTTTCCTTCCAGCTAACACTCACTTAAACCATGCCCTCACTGACTTTTACAAAGGGACCAATAATGGGTCCCACAGTTTTGGTGGGCAACAAGGCCTTGTCTGACCAGAAGTGGCTGGGAGGTTGGGAAGGAAGACAGGCTAGCTCAGGAGCAGAGGAGAGAAGCAAGCCCCTCCCTGTATCAGGGAGGAAATGTCCGTGGGAGAAAATCCCATCAAACCTGCAACGGGAAAAATTCCAATCCCATGGAGGGGCAGTTACCTCTGCATAGTTTTTTCCTTCTTTAACCACTAGGAGTAGATTTGGATCACAATGAGGAACGTAGGTCAGAAGGGTTTCATTCTAGATCTGCCTTTCAAGTAGTTCCTTACTCAGGATAAATATTCATGTATGCCCAGATACTAATAAAGGAATGCTTGCTATCCTGGCCTCTCCACTTGCAATAGATCCCTGGAATTGGGTAACGTCGAGAGTGGATGGGCTCTGTTGCCAATTGAAGGGGCTATTAGCTCTAGGCATGCTAGCTCTACAGCTGGGTTGGGCATGCTTTGCCATAGTGACATTTAGCCTGGCCAGGCATAAATTACAAATAAAAATTGTAATCCCAGCAATTTTTGAAGCTGAGACAGGTAGATTATCTGAGGTCAGGAGTTCCAGACGAGCCTGACCGACATGGTGAAACCCCATCTCTACTAAAAATACAAAACATTAGCTGGGTGTGGTGGTGTGCACCTGTAACCCCAGCTACTTGGGAGGCTGAGGCAGGAGAATCACTTGGACCTGGGAGGCAGAGGTTGCCGTGAGACGAGATGGCACCATTGCACTCCAACCTGGGTGACAAAGCAAGACTCCATCTCAAAAAAAAAAGAAAAAGGAAAAGAAAAAAAGAAAAGATTTTAGCTTATCGCAAAGAAATTAGGAGTGAAGATGACACAAAGAAGAGGTGAGAAAATGCTTTCTGAACCTCTTTGTCAGGGCCAGCATATCTGGTAGAAGAGGCCTCAGGAGTAAATCTTTATGGAAGCACCTCATGGTAGACCCACCAGTGATCATAGTAACTAACCCTCTGAGCTCAGAAGCCTCTTCCAGCTCAGTTTGCCAAGGCTCCTTGCAGCCCCACATTTTTGGATTCTCTGGCAGGGGCTGCCAGCATGAGAAAATGTGTTTTGAATTGTAAACATATTCTGTCTAATCTTAAGCTTGTTTCTATTGCTGTCATTTGAGAAATCTAATCAAACTCCAAATACACCAGCAGAACTCACAATTTAAAGAAATGTATTTTGGAGGAGGGTAGTCAGATATGATCAAGTTACTAAGCATTCCCTAATTTATCAAAGATTTAATCAACCTTTTCCTAGAGTGGTTCTGCTTGAGTGAGGTTCACCTCTAACTCAAGACTGCAGAAGCTACTGATCAGCTTGGTCTTGGCATTAATGAGCTCGGTGCTGATCTCAACTGGTAGCATGTGGCTTCAGCTGTGAAATATTGTGGTATAAAAAAGAGGAGCATGAACCTTTAGTAGGAATCCAAGGTTTCCTCAAAGAAAGGTGTTATAGAAACTATTAGTTTCTTAAAAGTAGAAGATATCACTATTATTTGTTTTTTAAAAGTAGAAGACAAAATTCTTCAAAAGCATCATTCTGGCCAGGCACGGTGGCTCACGCCTGTAATTCCAGAACTTTGGGAGGCCAAGGCAGGTGGATCATGAGGTCAAGAGATCGAGACTATTCTGACCAACATGGTGACACCATGTCTCTACTAAAAATACAAAAATTAGCTGGGTATGGTGGCGCAGGCCTGTAGTCTCAGCTACTTGGGAAGCTGAGGCAGGAGAATCGCTTGAAGCTGGGAGGCAGAGGTTGCAGTGAGCTGAGATCACGCCATTGCACTCCAGCCTGGCAACAGAGCCAGACTCCATCTCAAAAAAACAAACAACAACAACAAAAACCACAAAAGCATTGTTCTTGGGCCACATTGTTTTCTTGCTGATCAAAGTGAAGATCAGGATGCCTTTGGCAAAAAACTGAGAAGAAAACATCACAGCCCACTTCCTATTTTCATGCCATTCCTGCTTCTACCGGCTTCACTATAGTTCTTCTTAAGTACCTATGATCTTAATCGTTCATCAACACCTGTTCTAAGAAAATGATCTAATGTCAGGCATTTACAGATTGATGTGAATGTCAGTTCCGATATGGTGCTTCTCCCAGGGGTATCTAAACTTTAAGTTTTAGGTCTAGTTGTAGCAAAAGAATTTATAAGCTTTGGTGTGCAAGTGATAGTAGCTGGGGAGGAGGAGAGATGGGGATCTCTTACCAGTTTTAAATAGGGCTGCCCTTATGTAAAGAACAGAGCGTTCCTAGGACTGCCCTACAGATCTGCAGTGGTACAAGACAGTATTGAACTCCAGGACTAAGGGATATGGAACTCTTTCAGAATTATGCAAAAGTCATTAATATGCAGATATTCACAGTCACACACAAAACACAAACATCTATGTATGTAAATCCACGTAGAATACAGAATGCCTATGATTAATAGGGAGATTGTAATCTACCAATGACCAAGTCCTGATACTAAAATTTAATCTATAGATCTAGTAACCATTTGCTGTTAAATTAAATTCTGTCCTGCAACTCAGAAACATAGCTCCTAGTAAACATTTGGAAAATGTGTTCATGATCTGCCATGCATATAAAAGAGGCTCTATAGTGACATAAGTTATTATTTTTAGTTTTTGGAGGAGGGGAGGGCTAGCAGAAAGGTCCATGTCTTTATAACACCAAAGTGGTCAATTTGGTAACAAAAAAATAATTTTTTTTAAAGCTGTCAAGTTGGTTACAAAATAGCTGTTTGCCTAATGTACTTCCTAAGATTAAGTTCTTGGCTCTCCAATCGAGGCAGGTAAGCAGGTCATGCTATCAAAACCCTACCTTTACTCTTTCCTTTCCAAGGAAGAAAGCGGTGGCATGCAGTACGTCGGCAGCATGGGTGGAGTTGTGGTAGGCATTGGAAGAGTGGTAGTTGGCTTCAATCACTTGGAACCAGGCCCGAAGAGTGGTTTCAGAACAGTTTAAAAATTCACATACTCCAAACCGAGTGAAAACCTTTAAGCCCAGGTAAACCAACGGCCTGAAAAATAGGAAAACCCACCCCAGTTCATTGTATTCACTGGCCCAGAAACTTTTCTTCGATATTACTGGAGGGTGGAAGCATTTTTCTTCTGATGATAGCTTCACACACACAGGCATATAAAAGCGTCACCTCCAAAAATTAGGAGGTAGGATCTCTCTACCTCATCAGCCACCTTTTTGGAACTAGATGCTTCATGGAATTATTTCTAGATGATCTCTAAGCCCTAGGTCCCTCTGGCTCTGGCAATCCCTCTTCATCTATGCTCCCTAAGGAGATTGTAATCTAAGCTTAAGGACAAAAGAAAAAGTTTGGATGGTGCCAAAGTCCTATCATTTAGAGTCCCATTGCTTATTTACATTACAGGTGAGAATCATTCACATCCTACAGACCAATGCCACTGGGAAGAAACAGCTTTCTCCCCATATAGAAAAAGTCCTTTGAGATGGAGCAGACAAAAAAAAAATCTATAGTGCTCTCAATTCCATTCTGTAGGGTAGAGCTTGAGACAAGTCTGAGGCTGAGGATTCATAGAACTCTTAGTTCACTAGGAGGGACCTGTGGATGCTCAGGCGGATCCCACATCTTACTCATACCCTCCACAAAGGAGCTCACTCGAGGCCACAGTCTCTGCTCATTCACCCCTACTCCAACATGGCACAAGAGCCAGAACCTGTGAGGTCTCTCATGGCAAAAATGTATCTCCCTTAAAGTTTCCAAATGTGAGAGTTTGAGTGTGGCCATCAATCCTGCTCTACCTTCAGCCAGAGAAGTCACATACCTTTTATGTGTAACGGCTTCCAATTCAAAGATGTTGAAGTCCCAACTCTCCTCATTATCAAGTAATTGAGAGATACAAGGGGGAACATCATTGATGGTTATTGGCATCGCCAGGTGACTGTGGCTCTGGTGCACATCTGAGCAAACAGATGGGTTGGGGAAGGCTGGTTAATTGTGGAGTCTTGAGTGCCCAGGTATCTGTCATCATCGTCATGGTTACTGCTACGAAGTCTTAGGGGGTGGGCTCGGTGGCTCACATATGCAATCCCAGTACTTTGGGAGGCTGAGGCAGGTGTATCATTTGAGATCAGGAGTTCAAGACCAGCCTGGCCAATATGGTGAAACCCCATCTCTACTAAAAATACAAAAATCAGCCAAATGTGGTGGCACGTCCCTGTAATCCCAGCCACTTGGGAGGCTGAGGCAGGAGGATTGCTTGAACCCAGAAGGCAGAGGTTGCAGTGAGCCAAGATCGTGCCACTACACTCTACCCTGGGCAACAGAGCGAGACTATCTCAAAAAAGAAAAGAAAAAAGAAAAGTCTTGTATTTCCTAGAGTAGGAACATTTTCACTTCAAGATTTTTCTGGGGTTGGGTGCAGTGGCTCACACCTGTAATCCTAGCATTTTGGTAGGCTGAGGCAGGAGGATCACGAGGTCAGGAGTTCAAGACCAGCCTGACCAACATGGTGAAACCCCATCTCTACTAAAAAAGAATACAAAAATTAGCTGGACATGGTGATGCATGCCTATAATCCCAGGTACTCAGGAGGCTGAGGCAGGAGAATTGCTTGAACCTGGGAGGCAGAGGTTGCAGTGAGCCAAGATGGCACCACTGTACTCCAGCCTGGGTGACAGAGCAAGACTCCATCTCAGAAAAAACTAAAGATTTTTTTGTTTTTGAACTTCAAGACCCTCAAATAGAAAAATAATTCAGTTTAACTCTGTTTAAATGTATAGAGATTTACAATTCTTACTCTAACCATGCTCAGAGCAGTAATTTTAATTAGTTTCAAATGTAGACCATATTGATGCTTAAACTCAAATGAGAGTAGCTGGAAGTAACACCTCCCGGAACAATAATCACAACAGTGGGGACAGCACAGGCTGGAGGTAGGTCATGGTAACAAGTAGACAGATGAAAACTTACTCTTTGTGAACACATACTCGTTTCCTGACAGCCTTCTCAAGCCGTCCTTGAATAAAGGAAGAGCCTGTTAGAAACATGCTTTATATCCATTATCATTCTCCTCTTTCTTTCATTAGAAAAAGAGATTTGAATCCTGAATAACCCAATCAATCTGGAAGTCTAAGTTGAAACAAAGCTCAAAATTAAATCAGAACAGTTATCAGACAGATGATACTCTCCCTTCTGTAACTATGAGCCCCAGAAGGTGGAGAACTGGGATAGAGTGGATGTGACCGCACTCAGGACTCACAGGGAGCTGTGGGTTGGCTCTGTTTTGAGGCCATCTTCCTCTCCTGGCATTTTCAAGCCATGTAAGTGAAATCACAGGAGTGACCCACTCACCCTCAGAGGGACTGTGTTACTTGTGTCTTTAGACTTCTATTTCGAGGAGCTGAAGACATCAGCCACATTTAGGGGATTACCTTCTGATGTAGACTTTTAAAAAGATTGAGCTATTTTTTTTTATTAATAACTAATTTTTTCCCAACTATTTTTATGTTTTTAAACATGGGCATTGCTGCTTGCCTTTTAAAGAAGAGTTTCTGGGTTTGATGTCCTTGGAGATGCAGCATGAAGAAAGTGGACGAAATGCCAATGTTTTGCCATATCCGGGCTCTTGAACTAGTCCCCAAATATTCTTGAGTCTCAGCTTCCTTCCTTCCACCTTCAATCTCTGAGTACCTAAATTACCTAGATCTTTGCTTAAAAGTCATTTTAGAAATGCTTACTTGTCATTCCCAGACGATGTGTGCTAAGGTTTAAAGTAGTATTAATTAATGAAGGACTCACCTGAAGTTATACCTGGGATCTTTAGGCCTAGAGCTTAATTTTTAAAATTCAGTAAATACGGAAGTAGGAACAACCACAACTGTCCTGCCTCTAAGCTGTGTATGGCAAGAGATTCCTGGCTTTCCTTGCTGTTCTCTCGCTCTACTTCCCCAAAACCACATAAAATTGAGGTGGAATCACGTACTGGTTCTTCACAGCATCCCCTGGAGAGGAAACCCAGGATGGTATGGCAGTGAGGTAGGAGGAGGCTCGGCCATGAGGCCAAACTGAGGACTAGGTAAAACAGGTCCAGGGCAGAAGCATCTCCCCATAAGCTATGTGCACCTGTGTACCATGTCAGTTTCCTGTTGCCATGGCAATACCCAGACTTTTCCACCCCTTTTCATGGCAACAACCCAGAAATTACCACCCTCATCCTAGAAATAGCTGCAAAAACTGCCCCTTAATTTGCATATAATTAAAAGTGGGTATAAAGATGAGTGCAGAACTGCCTCTAAGCTGCTACCCAGGGCACACTGCCCATAGGGTAGCCTTGCCCTGCAAGGAACAGCCCCCCTGCTGCTACTGTCCACTGCTGCTTCAGTAGAAGTTGCTATTTAATACCACCGGCTCGCCCTTGAATTATTTCCTGGGCGAAGCCAAGAACCCTCCCCCAGGCTGAGCCCCAGTTTGGGGGCTTGCCTGTCCTGCATCAGCAGCAGGAGGGAAGGAACATGGCTTGCTCCCAGAACCAGACTGCTCCCACTGCAGTCTGTGGTGGCCACCATCTTGCAGAGCCCTTGCCGGTGCTGCCTAGAAGCTGAGGTCTGCATTGCATTAGATGGAGTTAACAGGCCCCTCCAGGGGCAGGAAGAAAACAAGAAGGCCGTCAAGTTCCAGGTGGAGGCTGAAGGGGAAAGCCAGTCAACACTCAGTGTTTGGTGGCAGGGCTGAGCACAACCTCCAAAGTCAAACTCATACATGACATCTGGACTTTTTCTCTAAAGAATTCCAGCTTCAGACTCTGATGGGTAACTCAAATAATTTGAATTTTTTTTTCCTTTTCTTTACTTGCTGACAGATTATGAAAGCCAAATAGATTACAGCAAAACACTAGAACAGGATGAGGAGTCCCTAGAAATCAGCTACTCTTGGTGGTGTAAATGGTGCTTTTTGGAATGTGGCAGTAAGAGGTTCCTTCTCCCACCCCCTCCCTGAGCCAGAACAGCCCCAATCTGCTTTTACTTTATAAATGGTACTTCTATACTAACTTTTATTTAAATAAAGGATTCTATAGTTAAGATTAAATGCTACAGTCTAACTATAAACCCTTTCATTACATAAGGAGTCAGGTCCATGGAAATGAAATCCAATGCTATACTAGATCAAGGGAAAGCAGTAGGAATCAAGAGCCTGCAAACATCCCTCTTGTACATTTAGCCCTCCATCAGTTACCCACTGACTCCCTGCAGTCATAGGAAGACTGAAGCACTGTCCCCATGGCTATGGTAGGTCAGCCTTATGGAAAGGCAAATGCAAGAGTCACTCAAATACCACTACACATATAATATGTTAATTCCAATGCAGTTGCTTCTGATTACACTAACAGTTTACAAGCAACAGGTACTCCTGCAACCACAGGTAACAGTTCCCACATCAACTAAACTCCAGAGGCCCCAGATGCCCCTCTTGCTTTTCTGGTTTTGACTCGTTACTCACAGTCATCAGGCCTCCAACAAGATCACTGGTATGGGGATCTTCATCTTTGGTACCCAGCTGAGGGGAGTACAGTTCTGTGGTCCGTAAAATCTCTAGAACTCTGTCCAAGGCTTCTGCTACTGTGACTGGGCTGTTTTCTTGGGCTGCATTGATTATATTGATAACCTAATGGAGTGAAGAAAGAATACAGTTGAGGACAAGAGGATTCTGCTTCCCCAAAGTCATATGTATGCCCAGAATCCAAAAGAAATCACTTGGTAACCATCTCTTATTCAAAATGACCAGTGCTTTCACGGTACCACCCTTCTTCCTGAAGCATGCTTTTCTCCCCATGGGCTCCTGGTGACTGTTCTCCTACCTCAGTGACTAGGCTTCCTCAGGCTCCCATGCTAGATTTATAGCAGTGGAGGTGGAGAGAAATGAATAGATCAAGAAATATTTTGGGGTAGACCAGTAGGACTTGGTGATGAATTACATTGCTAGGGTTGGGAGAGGAATGAGGATTCCCCTCCCCGCCTCTCCCCGGGCCCTCCTTCACTGGTTGGAGTGGCTCAGAGATCTGTTCTGGGCCCCTCTCTCACTCTCTCACTTCCAGAAATGGTATTTTATTTCCATGACTTTGGACACCTATGATCTACAGCCAGGAACTTTCTAATTTACCTCCCAGCCCTCAGCTTCCTTTGACCTCCAGGCTTGTACATTCAATTCCCTACCTGGCATACCTACTAGAATATCTCATAGGTCTTGCACTAAACACAAAGTCTCATTCCCTTCTCCCCACAGAAAGCACATAAACACACACAATAAAAAAAAAAAAAAATCAAAGATAAAAGCTGTTCACCTTCTGTGGTTTCTACATCAGAAAGCACTTCTATCTACCTTATACTCATACCTAAAATCTGGGAGGCCCTGTTGACATAACACCTGCCCTCATTCCTCTCCCAACCCTAACAATGTAATTCATCACCAAGTCCTATTGGTCTACCCCAAAATATTTCTTGATCTATTCATTTCTCTCCACCTCCACTGCTATAATTCTAGCTCAACTACTTCTAGAATAGGCCCTAACTGACCTGTTCTCTTGCCGCCTCCAATCCATTCTCTGCACAGTAGCTGGGTGTTCTTTTCAACAAACGTATCTGGTCATATCACCCACCCCACACCTGAAACTCTTCAGTGGTTTCCACTACACATAAACTAAGATACAAACTCCTATGTCCCTGCTGACCAGAATGAGCTGAGCCCTGTGCAACTGACATCCTCCTCCTCTCTCCCCTGCTTACCAAGCACCTGCTGCTACGACTTTCTTTCAGCTCCTTAAATGTTCCAGTCCCTCTTTGCCCATCACAGTGCTTTTTCCCTTGCTGTTCCTGCTACTTGGAGTCTTCTTCTCTTCCTTCTTCTCCTGAGTAACATCTGTGCTTCAAATCTTGCTTCAAAATGACTCCGTTTCCCTGACTAGCCCTCTCATCCAGCCCACTTAAGGGCCCTACTGTAATTTCCTCTCACAGAACACAGTTGTTTTCCTTCACTGTCCTGATTGTAACTTAGGACAAGATGTTCATGTATTACGGGTTTACCTGCCAGCTGTTTCTTCTGCTAGACTGAGCTCCATGATGTCTGTGGGCTGTATTTTCACAGCACAGCCCAGTGCAAGGGCCCCTGACTGCCACGTGTAAGCAGCAGTCGCCACTCACCTTTGTGATGGGAGCCTCGATGGTCATGGAGTGGATCCTCGCCATAGACGGGTAGCGACGATTCTGAAGGCTTGGTGCTGGGAAGAAGGGAAGAAAGCTTCTGGTTCTGGTGGCTCAGTGTGTTTAAGTGCAGCAAAGGCGTCCCTTCATGGATGGGGCCCACTTCTCACAGGACTGCCCTCCCTTCTAAAAAGCCATGAATTCACCCATCTCTTCTGCCAATGCTGATAGCCCAGCTGCTACTTGTCTGAGTCTGGAAAGGTGATCCAGCCTGGAACTTCGGTGGCAGGAGGGCTTGGTGAGCCCCAAATCCACAAGGAGAATTTCTGAGGTAGATGGGGTCCATAAAGGCCTCCTTCCAACAGCCTAGTGATCCCCACAGGACCCACTTTTCCCCAATCACCCAACCCCAACTTTTGTAGTTCCATGACTTTCAGTCCTAAGCCACTGGCCGTAACCAGATGACTGTGCAGCCAGCATGGGAAGGGAGGCAGTTCATGGTTAGGGTCAGGGCAGAGGACCGAGCCCATTTTCAGTCTGAATTAGGGCCAATCACTCCCCCTGCCCATGCTGTTAGGCTCTTAACTCCCAAAGGTTCTAGTTCAAATCTACAGAAACTTTCATTAAAAAAAAAAAAAAAAAAAAAAAAGTTTATTTTTCTGAATAGGTAATGTTCATACTTGGTTTAAGATACCAAGAGTAGAAGCTTGGCTTTAAAAGCACTGTTCTCATCAGATCTTCCTACCACCCCATCTGGGGCAGGCCAGAGGGGTAGAGTCCCATTTCATGGAAGGGAACACTGAACCCAGCCTGCAGCAGAGCCTGCCTCCTGCTCAGCCGCCTCTGGGGACCCCTGGCTGCTGGTGCAGCAGCCACTGCAGGCCTGCATGCTCTTCAGCCTCCATTGTGCCCATGCTGGAGAGATGACAGTCCCCTTCAAGTTCCACTCCAGAAACAGTGAATCCACTTCAAACTCCCTCATCCCTTATCCTCTCAGTCTAAAATATTCTATCTATCCCCTCAATCCATCTCAAAATCCCTCAGTACATATTCTTTTGAATTAGAGACACATCTCCATCCCTCAAGTGCCCCATGAATTATCTATCTTTTTTTTTTATCATCTTTGATCCTTGCTTTGTCAGCCACTTTCATACTCAGCCTTCCCATTGCATCCTGAGCACTGGAAAGTCCCTCCCCCTTACCCTTTGTATTGACTCTCATCTCTCTTTTCTATCACAGGCACTAACCATCCCCTCCTCACACTCCAGAACCTATCCCCTTATCTGCCAAATAAAAACCAAATGAGTGAGTGAAATCTACTAGTCTGTTGTCCGCTCTTGAGCTCTGATCTGCACAGCATCTAACGCTGCTGGCCACTGTCTTTCTCAATCCCCTGTTGTTCTTGGTTCATGTGACATGCACTCACATGGTCACCCCAGCTATTCTGTCTTCTTCACTGGCCCTATTTCCACTGCCCACTTCCTGACTGAGACTGTGCCTTCAGTCTCAGGTTTAGACCCTATCCCCTGCTTTCACTACATCCACATGAACACACACCCCTTAGAGATGTTCTTCTGCGCCTTGCTTCACCTGTCACCTCTAGAACTGCCAAATCCACGTCTAGAGCCCCGAGTACCAGGCTTGCAGCTGGCTTCCTGGACATCTCCACCAAAATAAGATTCATCCTCTTCTCCATAATCCCAACCTAGCCAAACCTGAAGACGTTCCTTTTTCTGTAAATACAACTTAAAATTTCCCAGACACAGAGGAATGAAATGTCAGAATCATCTTTGATTTTTCTATCTCCCTGCAAATCCAACTGTTTACTGAGGCCTAGCTGATGGAACTCAAAAAATACTTTGCTAAATCCTGCTTTTCAGGGCAGAAAACATTTTCCTAAATTCTACCTCACAATTTCTGTGTGACATTTCATTAAGGAGAAGTGAGTGCATATACCTAGTACACTGAAAACTAGGTTTGTGTTGGGAGTTAGGAAGCCAGGACTGGCTGCCTCTCTGCCTCTGGCACCCAAGTGTGACCTTGTCTAGCTACTGAAACTCTGAGTTGCTTGGGTGGTTATGGCTCAACATGTTTCAAGTCATCAAGAAACAAGTCTGGAGTCCCTCCAAAGAGAGAACAAAGACTGCACAATAAGATTTTTAAATTTAATTATTAAAAACCCTAAAAACCTTTCAGCTTACTGAAAAAGAAGTTGGTGTTGTTGAATTCTTACTCTTTGGAGTTTATATGCTGATGAATTTTTGAACATATTCCTCCATCATTTTCGACATTTTAAAAAGGTCAAAGGAAACTGAAAAATGTCTTACCATCACTGCCTCGAGATGATATCGATTTCACGTCAATGGACTCTTTCCTCCTGTTCTTATATCTGAATGAATGAGGCTCTAAGGATTTCAGATTAGAAAGGGAAGGTGATTAGTTTTCAGTGTATTCACAGAAGAGATTCAAACATGTTTTTTCTTTATTCTCTAAAGAAAACAATGTTAGTTCTTAAGCACTATAAAATAATTTTAAGTCAATCACTTTCTTTTCAAATCATGAAGACACACAAAATTATAGTCATATTAGTAGTTAAATGATGACCTTTTCAATGGTGCATGTTATATCACAGTACTATAGCTTAGTATCAAGGGTTATTTAGTTCCATGAATGTAATTTTGAAAATAAACATTAGGATGGTGTAATAAACATTACAGTTGTGGTGGCTCACACCTGTAATCCCAGCACTTTGGGAGGCCAAGGCGGGTGAATCACCTGAGGTTGGGAGTTCAAGACCAGCCTGACCAACATGGAGAAACCCCATCTCTACTGAAAAAAAAAAAAAAAAAATACAAAATTAGCTGGTGTGGTAGTGCATGCCTGTTATCCCAGCTACTCAGGAGGCTGAGGCAGGAGAATCACTTGAACCCAGGAGGTGGAGGCTGCAGTGAACCGAGATTGCACCATTGCACTCCAGCCTGGGTAACAAGAGTGAAACTTCATCCCCCCACCCCTGCAAAAAAAAAAAAAAAAAGAAAAGAAAAAGAATTTAAGAAAATAAACATTAAAAGTTGAGGGACATTCGGAGGGAGGGTTCATCTGGACTTGAAAGACAATATATTCAACTGGATAGGGAAGGCTTTTATGGGATATTTTAGGAAATATAATACTAATGAAACCTATAGAGATTTAAATAAGAAATTAATTCAGACCAATTTTGGGCACCTCTGAAAAGTCAGACTTCTAGATGGTCTTCTAGATTCTCTTTGAGGATGGATTTCATCAAATGATACATACTGATGATCACAGGAAAGGAAGGTGACAGTTTTAGATTCCTCCAAAATTTCAACAACTAAACTTTCACCCTTGTCCCTATTTTCTGGGGGTAGAGGCGGGGAGTGGCATGGGCAAACATTTAAAGAATTTTGGCCTAAGTCTTTACAGACTTCAAACTTAACACTGAAACTGCACCATCATGTTAATCTAAAAACTAACAAAAAGCATATGCTACCAGTGAGCGCCGAGACATAAAAAATGACAAGGCAGCAGCCTTGGCTTCAGAAACACACATTTTCAGCACATTTGCTTCTTGTGAGAGTAACTCAGAAGCCAGTCGAGAAATCTAGCTATTATATAGGATTACTCCTCACTAGGCTAAGACAGGAGGCAGACATGCACATTTCAGCAGGAAGAATGCGTTTCTCAGATGCCAATAAATGATCATATTCCAAGAAGGAAAAAAAGATGCTTCTTTAGAATTGCCTAGTGACACAAGGTGCAATTCCTAGTAGTTAAGGAAACAAGCTCCAGAGCCAAATTGCCAAGATTCAAATTTCTACTGTGCCACCCAGTAGCTGTGTAATCCTGGGAATGTTACTTAACTTCTCTGGGTCTCAGTATCCATGTCTGTAAAGTGGGGGTAATTATAGCATCTCATTTATAAGCTGTTGTGAGAAATGAGTTAATATATGTATAGCATTTAGAACAGTGTCTGCCACAGAGTGAGCATGTTGTGCATGGAGGCTGTTAATTACACCGGTTCATTTGCATGTATGTCTTTAGACACACATGATCCTGTTACACTACTTACTGTTCTACTACTTACTGTTTTCACTTTATAATATCTTAGACACTTCTCTAGATCACCTTAACCATTTATTTTAGTGTCCTAAAAACCCGATTCAACTAAAAAAATGGTTAAATCAAAAATTGAGACTGAATTATATTTATACAGCATGAAGTGAAGGTGGAACTATTATAAAGTTAATCTGAACACCATAGCTACAGAGCCTTATCTTAAATAATCTAACTTAAAATATTTATTATAACATCTCTTTTCCTAATTTTTATCTTCCATTTTCCACCTTAGTAACTTTCCTATCTGTGCATGTATGTTTCAATAGATATATTTTAAATTACGTATAAATAGTATTTTAAATGATATTGTTGGTATCATGGAATTTCTGAAACCCTGAGAAACTAATAATGCTCACTTTTGAGACTCTTGTTTTAGCCTATTCAGAGACTTAATTATGTACAGTCCTAGCATTTATTTACCAAGTAATAAATTAAGTCTCACTTAAAGATTTAAGATTAAATGCAAGATTAAGGAACCAAAATTCCTGAAAATGTAATTTCTAAACAAAACTAAAAGTAGAGAGGGTAGCTTCAAGGCTGTGGCCCAGGCTGGCTGGTTGAATTCAAAATCATTCATTAGAAATTACTCAACAATGGATGATGTTTATTCTTCCTGATTTTACCTCAGTTAAAATTAAGAGAATCTATAGCAATAGAAATTATTAAAAGTTTGGAGAAATTATTCTTCAATAAAGGCTAAAGTCAGGCGACATGACCAATTAAAGAATTCATTGGTCATTCTTTCAACAGATGTTTATATGAATTAGAAACTTAAGCCAGAGAAAGGATAAAAGAGATGTGAACGGCCATACTCTATGGCAAAAAGGAACACTGGTGCCACAAATTAAAAAAAGCTCCACTTACTGAGTACCTACTTTGTGCCAGATATTGTACTATGTACTTCAAATAAAATAATTATGTCACTTAATAATTACGACAATTCTGAAAACTACATAGGGCTATATCCCCATTTTATGGGGCCAGGCACATTGGTTCACGCCTGTAATCCCAACTTTGGGAGGCCAAGGTGGGCAGATCACAAGATCAAGAGTTCGAGACCAGCTTGACCAACATGATGAAACTCCATCTCTCCTAAAAATGCAAAAATTAACTGGGTGTGGTGGCTCATGCCTGTAATCCAAGCTACTCAGGAGTCTGAGGCAGGAGAATGGCTTGAACTTGGGAGGTGGAGGTTGCAACGAGCCGAGATCGCATCACTGCACTCCAGCCTGGGTGACAGAGTGGGACTCTGTCTCGAAAAAACAAAAAAAATGTAGGCATAGAGAGATTTTGTATGTAGCCCAAGATCAAAGAGAATAAATGGTGGAAACTATACTTCCAAGATGGAATGGTTGCAATTTACCAATGTTTGCTGAGTATTTGCACAGTGTCTATTATGTACAAGGCAATACTGGGCACTGCAAAGGACATGAAAATGCTTAGAGCAGTTTCTGGCACCCAGAAGCTCCCAAGTTACTTAAATAATACCCTTGCTCAAGTGCTACAAGAAATTAACTAAAATGTATGTGAGTGAGGGAGAGGGAGAAAACACACTTGTGTGTGAAGTGTCATTATGTTATTCCAGGCTGTTCATCCCTAGAAAGTTTTCAGAAAGAGGGAAGATAGGTACCAGTTAAATCTAGTTACTGCTAAGCATTATACATTTCCTTCTTTAATCCTCATTAACAATGAAATAGGCTTTTGCCAATTCATTTTACAAATGAAAAAAAACTGAAGCTTAGAGCAAATGAAATCTTACCAAGTATACTAGATATGATCCCCCTCATCAAGAAGAGGGACTAAACACTGAGCCCAGGGTCTGACATCATGCATTAGTGGCTGGGAAGGCCACCAACAGGGCAAAGAATGTTCCAATTCTTGGCAAGAACAAAAATATTAAATTCTTGGTAGCAGGCAGATTTTTTTTCCCCTCTAACAATCAAAAAATTCCAGGCCTTTCCACTTGCAGTCATCAGGCCCAGCTCCTGTTTTTGCGGAGGAAGCCAAGGGCCAAACAGAGTCTTGCCCAACATATGAGATGAGCGAGTAGGAAACTGAAATAGGAACGTGGTGCTTCTGCCTCCCAGCACCTAGTGACATGTTCCAACTGTACAGTCACCAAAGCAAAGGGAGACTGAACAGGGTTGAGCAACCACCGTATCGTCACCTGGGTCATACTCAACCAGTGTCTCCTTTGGGTTTATCTGTCCTACATGGTATCTAGCCAAGGAAAGAAAGACAAGATGGAGAGGACATTCAGTAGAGAAGGCTCAAGGACATTCTAAGGGATTTCTGCTTTTCTTCTGGCTTGCCAACCCTGAGATATGAGCACGTAGATTTTAGCAGTCCACCTTCTGGGGTGGTAGTTGTCAACCTAAACTTCTTCAGAGAAATGTATACACTTGAACCCACAACTGCCTCCTACGTTAGAGTTCAATTGAAGTATTCTCACCTGTCTGAGAATTGTCTCCTGAATCACGATGAATCTTGTGAATCTAAAGTCGTTCAAAAATTGGTAAAACAAGAAGAAAGATTTTAAATATGCCATTTGCTATATTTCTCATCAAACAATTTAGTGATAAAGCTCTGAAGACTTTACGAAAGCAAGAAGCTGCACATATAATATGAACAGATGAAAGTCATACACCAAGTGATACAACTACAAAGTCTCTATTACTTTCAGACACTTAGAGAATGGCTGAGCCTGAGAGCAGGAAGATTCCTAAGGCATGTACTCTCTAGGCAGGACATCTGCTTCTCCAGTCAGCTATTTTCTCATTGTGACAGCCTACAGAAATGCAGAAAGATAAAAGATATAACTAAATATAAAATTGTATAAGGCTAATACATAACCTGGTTATTTCAGATACGTTATAAAATTTTTCTGTGCTACAGAAGTAATCTGAATTTAAGTCTAGGAGTTAAAAACATTTCCTACAAAGCTCTTCAAATGCTCCAGTATAGACAGTCAATTTATAAAACGTTCTTTCACAATGAGATGTGAACTTTAGATGCAGTTTTGTACCTAGTTCTTTCTCATTATCAATTTTTTGGTTAATGATTTTGTACTAATGCTCAATAAATATCTGTCAAATGACAAAATGAAATCATTAACACTAGAAATAATAAGTGTCCTTTCTTTGGGATCCTGCATTTCTTGTTTTATAACTGACCCCAACACTGTTAGTGGGGTACATTTAGTTCTATCAAACTTGTAATCATGCTGCTTCACTGCTAAATCCACCTGCTTTCAAGTGCTCAGACCATTAAATCTTTGTAGCCACTCAATACATGGGGTAAGTTAACTTGAAAAATAAGACAGATAAGCATGTAGGACATTTGCAGAGGCAGATTAATATAGCTTAGCAACATTAACTGTAATAACCAGATATCCTGTCTGCGGAGGCCAAAGCAACTCCAGGTTGGATGCTAATCCACCATGTTGGCTTCTGATTAACCCTAGTTCCCGGATGGCCTCCAAGATGATTATTTTATCTGTTGTTCCTTGTGTAAGAAGAGCATGTACTTACCGTAAATCCTGCCCTTACATCAAAACAATCTTGGCTATAAATCCTGGCCTTAGGCAGATTCACACAGCATTCCTGCCTGTCCATACAAGTGTCCTACACATTCCTTTCCTCTGGTACTTAAGTGCTAGGTCTGTGGGTAATGGAACTCGCCACTACCCAAGGCACAGACGTGCCTTCTGTTCATAAGTTCCTATTAGCTTATAGGAATGGGATTCCTCAGCCTCTTTCTTTGGCCTCTCAGCTTCCTCAGACTGTGGGGTAGGTGGGCACTGTCCTGCCTACCGCGACATGTGTGGTAAGCCAGGCCAGGAGCTGAGAGACCCAAGAAATGGAGGAAATCTTGTGGTGGGCAGACACTTTTACATGGAATGGTGTGGCTCATGTTTCAGATGCTTGTGGACCACCCTGTCAGTGTGGGGACGCCCCCAAAATGCCAGGGGGTTTAGAGTGATGGTGAACTGAGAGCCATCCATCACACTGTGGCTCAGAAGAGCTGTGGGCAGCCAACGTGGTAAGATGGCCACCTCTCAGTGGGAGCCAGTCCTCAGCAGATGCAAAAGCAAAACAGCTGACCAGGTGCAGCGGCTCATGCCTGTAATGCCAGCACTTTGGGAAGCCAAGGCCAGTGGATTACCTGAGGTCAGGAGTTCGAGACCAGCCTGACCAACATGGTGAAACCCCCACCCCCTACTAAAAATATAGTATTAGCTGGGTGTGGGTGCCTGTAGTCCCAACTACTCAGGAGGCTGAGGCAGGAGAATCACTTGAACCCAGGAGGTGGAGGTTGCAGTGAGCTGAGACTGTGCCACTAAACTCCAGACTCCGTCTCAAAAAAAAAGGAAAACAGCTTGAGTAGCAATTGCAGTTAAGAAAAAGATTTTATTTAAGGGCCCTACAGTCAAAAGTTACCTTAGTTAAAACTGAAATTTGGGCATCATATATATTGTTTTAAGGCCTCTGCACATCCCGTAAAACTTCTGAGTCTACTGAATTCTGTTTCTCCATTTACTTCTGTCTGTTCCTCCTTCCTCCTGCCATATGAGGAATCTAAAAAAAGGAATTTCCAACAGCCTGGGATCCCTTGGGGAAAACAGAGAAGGCACTAAAGTCTCCTCTTTGGGGGAAGAATCTGTTTTTCCTCATGAAACCCAGGAGTAATAAGCAGACAGATTCTACTCAGGTCTCAAGCCACACTCTTGTGTTATCTGATCTCTGGTTAGTGTGTGGGGAGGATGGGAAGGTGGTACAGGGATGACTTTGTACTGTGAGAGGAGCTGATCTTGGTGAATGTAATGGCCAGCAGTCACAGGCAAGAGCTATACTGTTAGAGGTGGCTGACAGCAGTTGTTTACAGCAAGTGGTTATTACTATCAGGGCTACTAATTTCCTGGCATGTTTGGATAAGAAAAGTGTAGTTTAGCCTAGAAAACCTAGGCTATACCATTCAGGACATAGGATAGGCAAGCACTTCATGACTAAAACACCAAAGCAATGGCAACAAAAGCCAAAATAGACAAATGGGATCTAATTAAACTAAAGAGTTCCTGCACAGCAAAAGAAACTATCATTAAAGTGAACCAGCAACCAACAGAATGGGAAAAAATTTTTGCAAGATATGCATCTGACAAAGGGCTAATATCCAGAATCTACAAAGAACTTAAGCTGACAAGAAAAAAACAACCGCATCAAAAAGTGGGCAAAGGATATGAACAGACACTTCTCAAAAGGAGACATTTATTTAGCCAACAAACATGAAAAAAGCTCAACATCACTCATCATTAGAGAAATGCAAATCAAAACCACATTGAGATACCATCTCACACTAGTTAGAATGATGATCATTAAAAAAATCAGGAGACAACAGATGCTGGAGAGGATGTAGAGAAATAGAAATGCTTTTACACTGTTGGTGGGAGTGTAAATTAGTTCAACCATTGTGGAAGACAGTGTGGTGATTCCTCAATGATCTAGAACTAGAAATACCATTTGACCCAGCAATCCCATTACTAAATATACACCCAAAGGATTATAAACCATTCTGTTACAAAGACACATGCACACATATGTTTATTGTGGCACTGTTTACAATAGCAAAGATTTGGAACCAACTCAAATGCCCATCAATGATAGATTGGATAAAGAAAATGTGGCACATATACACCATGGAATACTATGCAGCCATAAACAAGGATGAGTTAATGTCCTTTGCAGGTACATGGATGAAGCTGGAAACCATCATTCTCAGCAAACTGACACAAGAACAGAAAACCAAACACCACATGTTCTTACTCATAAGTGCACGAACAATGAAAACACATGGACACAGGGAGGGGAATATCACACACCAGGGCCTATTGAGGGTGGTGCTGGGGAGGGCTAACAGGGGAGTGGGGGACTAGGGGGGATAACATTAGGAGAAATACCTAATGTAGATGACAGGTTGATGGATGCATCAAACCACCATGGCAGGTGTAACCTATGTAACAAATCTGCATGTTCTGCACATGTACCCCAGAACTTAAAGTATAATAATAAAAAAAGAAAAACTAGTGTACACAGTGGCTCACTTCTGTAAGTGGCTCCACCTTTAAGCCAGCAATATAATTAAGAAACAAACTCGGCCGGGTACGGTGGCTCAAGCCTGTAATCCCAGCACTTTGGGAGGCCGAGGCGGGTGGATCATGAGGTCAACAGATCGAGACCATCCTGGTCAACATGGTGAAACCCCGTCTCTACTAAAAATTACAAAAAATTAGCTGGGCACGGTGGCGCATGCCTGTAATCCCAGCTACTCAGGAGGCTGAGGCAGGAGAATTGCCTGAACCCAGGGGGTGGAGGTTGTGGTGAGCCGAAATCGCGCCATTGCACTCCAGCCTGGGTAACAAGAGCGAAACTCCGTCTCAAAAAAAAAAAAAAAGAAACAAACTAAATTGAAAAGAAGATACTTTTTCTGGCAATCTTGTTTTCAGATAATGCTGTTTAGGTCTAAGTTCTGTGCCTTTAAGATGCCAATCTTCTTCACCTGGTTTCATCTTAGTCATGTCTTTGGCTAGGTTGTGTAAAGGTGGGAGAGAAGGTATTTGAGAACTGGCAAATGAAGAATCTTATAGGTCTATAAGATCTGTTTCTGTTTGTGTGTATGTCTATGTATATTTAGTGTGGTGTGTATGTGATGGATAATTACCAAAATATATGACAGAGCTCTAATTTGGTTTAAACAAAAAGTAAGTTCTGGCTGAGCACAGTGGCTCACTCCTGTAATCCCAGCACTTTGGGAGGCCAAGGCAGGTGGACTGCCTGAGGTCAGGAGTTTGAGACCAGCCTGAACAATATGGTGAAACCCCATCTCTACTAAAGATACAGAAATTAGCTGGGCATGGTAGTGTGTACCTGTATAGTCCCAGCTACTCAGGAGGCTGAAACAGGAGAATTGCTTGAACCCAGGAAGCAGAGGCTGCAGTGAGCTGAGATTACACCACTGCACTCCAGCCTGGGTAACAGAGTGAGACTCTGTCTCAAAAAAAAAAAGAAAAAAGAAAAAGAAAATGTTCTTATCAGAATATAGAAACCAACTCAAATGCCTGTTAGTTCAACTGACTTCAGTAATCTTTCAAATAAAACTTGCTTCAAAGTTATTTTCAGTAATTTGAAATCTTAAAGTCAGTTATGCTAAATTAAGTAATCTTAGGTTTTTCAATGGAAATTAGGGTTACTAAGAGTTAAAGTAGTAGTTAATATATGTAATTAAAACTACTAGATATGAGAGAAACAATTATATATCAGGTGAACAAATAAAGATGTGTTTTGGTAAAGAAGTTTATTAAAAACATGAAGATGAGGTTTTTGCATAAAGGAAAAGTAACCACATATTTTAAAGGCTAAAGGTTGTTTTAAAATGCATGAAAAATGATACAGATAAAACTAGCTGGATAGAAAGGGAAATGATAGAAGGATAAAGAATGAGG